TTTTTTATTAATAAGGCTTCCATTATTTTTTTTTTTTTTTTTTTTTGCATGTAGATGATGCTATTATATTAGTGCTGTCAACAAGTATGTTCCGAAAAGTGTCCGGTAGGTCTCCATGAATATTTAAATGAGATTTAATTGAGCTATGGTCAGAAAAGTGTAGAGTGAGTCTGCGTGTCAAACATGTTGTAGTGTGGCCTATATAATTATTTACGAATTTTGATTGACCAGGAAAAAAATTTCTTAATGGGCATTTAAATTCATAAATAATATTTGCCCTATTTAATTTTGTTCCAGGAGGTGAATTATTATTTTTAACTATAAGGTTAAAGGTTTTAATTTTTTTGTAATAAAAAATTAACCTAATAATTTTGCTATTGTCAACTGTGGTTATACATTTTTTTATAATGTTCTTAATTCTGCATTCATCCTGTTTATAATTTTCGTTCATTAAATTTTTTATAAAAAATATTAATATTATTGTTTATGTTTTTATTCTGTATATATTATATGTTTTAAATTACACAGAAAAAATAAAAGTAAATCAAAAATTGATCAAAAAATTATTATTAATTAAAACGTTTTATAATTTTTTAATTATTTAAAAAAAAATATGGGATTTTTTTTATTTTAACCAATTTTGTGAAATTTATAATAATAATTAAATTTTATATCTAATAGGCATATCATAAAAAATATTTAAGATGGCAAATTTTTATTTGTTGTATTTAATAAATAGAAGTTTAAATTTATATATAATACTAAAAATAAAAGAACAACTTCCCCATGAAGTTTATTTTTAATAGTAAATTCACTAATAAAAAAAAAATAAAAAAATCCAATTTTATATATATAACAAAGAATAAATATAAAACTAAAATAAAAAAAATTTATTTAGCACTAATCAATTATTGATATTAATGTGACTACATTGACACAAAATACAAATAACAAATATAGGACTATAAACTTATTTAACAAACGTTGAAAACATGTTTTATGAAATATTTTTATATATATATATATATTCAATATATTATATAAAAATAAATATATATTTATATATAAAATATATATAAATAGTATACATGTATGAACAAATATAAAACAAATTTAAAGTATATAAATATATAAAATATATTTAAATATATATAAATATAAATATATATTTATAAATATATATATATATATATATATATATATATATATTTATAACATAAATATCATACAAAAAAATTATTTAAATATATATTTTACAATATATATCAAATGTGTATAAATAAATATATTATATTTTTAATTTAATATAAAATATATATATATTAATTTATATTAAAATATATATATATGAACATTCATATTACAAATAAATAATAATATATTTATAAAATATATAAATATTTATATATATATAAGCCAATATATTTATATATATATATAATCATTATAATCAATTATTAGGATTAATTTATATATATACCATTTTTTTACCATTTATTTTAAATTTCATATTTAATTTAAACATATAAAATCTACATATTTATATTTATAAAAATATAAATTATAGAAAGAATAATAAGATAAATTATAAAAAATAAAATATTGAAAATATATATATAATTATATATTTTTATATATATATAAAAATATATTATATATATATATATATATATATATATAATATATATATATATATATATATTATATACATTTGAATATTTATTCTCTGATAAATATAAAAAAAAAATATATAAATTGAAAAATATGTTTACATTTAAATATATATATATATATATATATATCCGGTATATAATATGTGTATATATATAATATATATATGTATATATATATATATATATATATATATATATATATATATATATATATATGTGTTATATCAGGAGTTATTTTATCCAAAATAACGAAATTACAAAGATAATCATTCAAGTTAACAATTGTAATAACATTCCAAATTTTGGTCAACAATCAAATTAAACAAACTTTAATCAGAAATAAACTTACTTTTATATCCATTATCTGTTTCATCGATCCTTAAATAATTTTTATGTTTAGATTAAAAATATTTTAATTTTTAATCTTGCAGAAATTATTTTATTCTTAAAAAAAATATCTTTCGGTCTATTACAATTCATTTGTGAAAAGTTGATTGCATTTTCTAAATATGTTTTTATGTAATGAGAACATGGTGTTTTTAAACTTAAACTTTTTTGTTTGCTAATTTTCACATAGGAATTAAGTAATTATAGATCCGGAACACACACATATATATATATATATATATATATATATATATATATGAAATATATTTTATGTATATTGTTTATTGAAAATTTTGGTTTCCAAAAGAAAATATCTAATTCTGTTTTGTATATTTTTTTTGAAAACATGATTTAATTCCCTTTTGGGTTGGCGCCTAGTTTTTGAAAAGCATTTTAAACACATAAATAAAAATTTCCAATTTTGCCGTGATTAATCAAAAAAATGAAAAACCATAAAATTAAAAAAAATTTGAAGATTTTTAGCTTTAAATTCGAAATTTTTTCCCGTTAATTTCAATTCTTCTATATAATGTTAATTAAACGGCCTTAATTAATTTATTTTTTAAATAGAAGATGGAAGATTATTTTCATATTTTCCTATATTTTGACAGTTTTATTTTAAATATTATAGGAAAAAAATGAATTGAAAAGATTTGCTTCACCTTCTTTTCAGCTTTTTTTTTATATATTTTGTTTTTAAAAGTTTCATACATATATATATATATATATATCTTATATATTTATATATATATATATATTTTATAAATAAATCTTCTTTTAGATTTTTTTTCTTTTGAAAATGAAACAGATTTCTATTGAATAAAATAATGTTTTCATCCAAAAAAGTTTCTGATTATAATTTCTTTATATATAGAACATACCTTTGAATTATATTTAATATACAAAATATATATTTATTTTAGTTTTTCAAAAAATCAGAAAAAAAAAATACTTTTGGCCATTAAAAAAAATATTAAAAATTAAATTAGAATTTCAATCGATTTTAAATTGATAAATTTATGGTAGAAAAAAAAAGACTCCAAATAACTTTTAAAAATCTATAAAAATTTTTGAATTGGAGCGAAAAAAAATTAAAATCATTAAATTGAAGAATCAAGATATTCTACTAAACAAAAGGAATGAAACTGATAAAAAAATGTCAACATAAAAAAGTAAAATTTTTAACATTTATCTAATTTCAATTTGGGACACAGAAACAAAATTTCAACAAATATATTATCAATGAAATGAAAAATCACAATCATTTAGATTTTTTATATATGAATATTCAATGTTTTATATTACATCTTTCCTATATGTAAATTTAATTTCTATATGCGAAATTTATTCATAGAGATGTAGGAATTTTTTATATATAAATATTTTATATCTCCCATTAAATGTTTTATATTCAAATTTATTCTTCTATAGTTAATTACAAAGAATTATACTAAATTGTTTTATATAATATTTTATAAATTTAATTCAAATAAAGAATTTTATAAATAATTATTGTAATTTCCTTTTTTAATTAAAATTATAAACTTAGTATGAAAAAATTTAACTATTATATTAAAAACGAAATGTCACATTTATTTTAAATGAAATGAAATATATTATAATTAATAATTTTTAATAATTTAAAAAGTAATGATTTTTATAGTAATAAGGAAATATTTAGTTAAAGATGCAAAGAATTGAATGGATTAGCTTTAAAAATATTTTTTTAAAAAATTTTTTTAAAGGAAATTATTTTATTATATATTTATATATCGTTATAAAAATATTTCCATAGCCTTAAAAATTTGTTTAATTATTCTTCCCTGTTTTTTTTTTTGACATTCCAAAAGTGAATCCAGTAACTATCCTTAAATATCCTTTATCTATATATCGCGGCTTCAGCTTATTAATTCTTATATAAAATTTTATTCTTTATTTTTCCTTTTAAATTGCATTTCAAATAAATTTGAAAAAATGGTTTATTCATCTTAGTAATTATTTTGCATTGAAAAGATTCTGGAATATCTATCTTTTATATGAATAAATATCATAAATATAAGGTAATTATTTTTATATTCATATATATACATACATATATATATATATATATATATATATATATATGGATATATATATATATATATGAGGAATCGCTAAGTTCGAATTCCAGTCGAATCCATTACATTCACTTACGTGCTAATACCCTTGGGAAAGGTTTGAATCCTCTTCTTCTCCTTCCAGCTATGGGTAAAATAGCAGGACAGACTGGGTTCTATAGCCTTGATGACAACTGTTCTAGGAGAAGGACAACTCTGAATTCAAAACCTGCGGAGGGTCTGTTTGGGACTTTGTGGCACGCAGTGCACCAGGTTTCCGTATTCGGGCCTTCAAAAAGTGTGGATGGTCCTTCACGAAACCTTCACCACTATAATCAAATTGCTGTTGTCGGGCTGTCAGTTTAATTTGGGAACTGATCTATTGACCCTCTTACGTCGAAATCGACGGGAGAGTCGATTTTAATATATATATATATATATATATATATATATATATATACAATAAGCATATTTGGATCACTTATTCTATAAAAATTGATAATTCAACTTTGTTTGGAATTTAATTTTATGAAAACTTATATATGTTTAAGAGTTTACACCCTAAATAATTCAGAGTAACTAGATATTTCGAAATTTCACAAATATAAAAAATTGTAATATATAAAAGTTTTTACCTTCGTAGCTGCCTTGCACAGGATCGACACTCAAAATTTTGGCTGCCCCTGTAAACTGGCCTGTGTTACCATGAGCTAGAGCAATTCCTTTACCATCAACGACAACGATGACATCGTGTGTTCCAATGGAGCAACTGGTATTTGTGCATACAATTTTTTGTTTTGTAGGAGGATGGATTTTCCAAAGAACCGTCGATGGTAACCAATTTTCAATGCTTATCTATAACATTGAACCCTGAACCAGTTATAGTTATATTTATTGGGACAGGACCTTTAAACACAAGTAAAATATAGTTATATCCTTTTGAAGCGATAAATACTGACTTACCTAGTATTTATTCTTTTAAAAACACCAGCAGTTCGGGAGTTTTGATGAAAATATATAATGCTACTTATTTGATTTTTACATCAATGGGTTTGCATTGCATCAATCAAACTGATCAACATTGTACGAATTGATACGAACACATTTATAACTTCAGTTTAAATGGAACATCAGAAACATTAATAAAATATCACGGCATCACACAATGACATAATTACATTGCAATTGCTTTGTAATTAACGGTGTAACTTCACAACTGAAAATAATAGAAGATCAAGGGAAAGTATTAATTCGTCATCACAATTTCATGCTCATCAACAGGATGCATAAAATTAAATGATGGAACGCTTATATTAGAGAAAGAGTTAATTAATTCATAGATAAAACGAATATATCGGAGAAAGAGAACAACCGCCAATACACAAAATTAACGACGGACCGGAAATATTAAAAAAAACCTTAAGTGGAATCTGCACTGGCCAAATTGAACAGAACCAAATCGACAGGACCAGACGGATTTACAATAGAGATCCTCTGGCAGCCTTACAATAGAGATCCTCTGGCAGCCTTACAATAGAGATCCTCTGGCAGCCTTACAATAGAGATCCTCTGGCAGCCTTAGATGATTCCGGCATAGACAAGGTTACAGAAATAAATGAAATCTACAACAGTGATGATATACCGGAAGACTTAAAGATATATTTTCATAGCATTGCCTAAAAATCCAGGTGCAAACGAATGTGAACTCCATCGGACAATTAACCTAATGAGCCATATAACGGATCTTATCATCCGAATTTTGATTTATTTTGAAGAATAGAGCGCGCATCAGAATCATATCGGCAATACGAGAGAAACAGTGTCGGTTCGTCAAAGACACTGAAACAAGGAATGCGAGCGATACAAATACAGAAGGACGTGTACCTGTGTGATAATGTACACCACAAAAATCTGTTGTGACTGCTCAGTAACCTTGGTATATTTAGGAAGTATATTAGAATAATCGATAACCTCTACTGTCAGCAAACCGCCTGCATGCGGATAGAAATTAAGTTCAGTGGATATACAAAATAGAACGGGATGTAAGGCAAGGATGTTTCTTCTAATCGGATTTATTCAACCTATACCAGGATTCATTAATGGCAGCCACAATTTTAACAATATAACATATGTAGATGATACAGTACTGGTAGCAGACACGGAAAGAAAATTACAAAAACTTCACTAGATGGTAGTGAAGGAAAGCGTAAAGAAAGGATTAAACATCAACTGAAAGAAGACAGAATGCATGGTTGGTAGTAAAAGGCTGAGCCCAAAGTGCGAATCGGAGATACCAAAATCAAAGAAGTACAAAATTTAAATATCTAAAGTGTTTTAACAGAGAACGGAAAGTGTGACACTGAAATCCAAAGGCACATTGGAATATCTAAAGATGCATTCCAAAAGCTAAGCAAAGTACTAAGAATTAGAAAATGTTCCCTAGAAACAAAGAAAAGAGTACTAAACTCTGACGTGATATCTTTCCTCCTCTGAGTGCTGGACAATCTCCTCAAAGAATCATGAAGCAACAGAACCAGGACCAGAAAGCGGGCTTGAAAAATATGATACTCACAGAATAGATTGAAAGCAAGAGGGATAGAGGAAAACAACGCATAACATAAATAGTGAGCTTACGTAAATGGATGACAGAAAGACATAGTTTATTACGAACTACAGGAAATTGTGGAGCGTCATAATCACCTAAGTTCTGAGGGGACATGGCAAAAAGATGTTTATGTAATATGAATTCATTGAATCGAATTGATTTTATATTTGATTGAGAAATCAATTTTAAATATCACGAGGGAAAAACATGCACTCTAGATTCTTCTATAATAATAACGTGCATTTTGTCAATCAATTTGAAGAAATCTAAATTCAAAGGAAACGAGAATCTACTTTGGAATGGAGTCCATTCGTGTGACATTGTTAGCGAAACGATATCAAAAGTCCATAAATAAAAAAATACGATATTTGAAATATCAACATTTTCCGTGATACCTTTATTCCCTTAACTTCATATTGTCTAATTAATTTTTATTTTATTGATGTGAAGATGTTTGATTCTAGCTGCTTAATTGATTATGCTGATTATCTCACTGCTTAATTGATTATTGATTTTGGTCGATTATGAGTAATCCAATATCATTGGCTCACGCAAAGGAAGCAAGTTTCAAGGGTGTTAATACTTAAATTTTATCCTTGTAAAAATGTCAAACATGTAGCAAGATTATTTTTTCAGTTTCAACCATGTTTTCAGGCGTTATCGAAATAATTTTAATTATAGCAACAGATTGATACCCGTTCAGCAATGTTCATTCTGAGTATGGGTCTTAATTTTGGACCAGTTTGAACTGCTGATGAAAAGTTAAGTATTAAATGCAAATTTTAGATGATTTAAAACATTAGTTTAAAATAATTATTAATAATAATAATAAAGTATATCCACCATCATTTGTACTAATCAATAATTAACAAAGAAAACTTTTGTCTGTTGTCCAGCTAATGTTTTCGTAAATCTCGCAAAATCCCAGAATAAAAATAAAACCTAAAACTACTTATCTGGCAAATCAAAATTTCAACTTGACATTGCAGTTGTAGCGATTTGCAGAAACTAATAAATGATTTCACTACAGCTTTCTCTTCTTACAAGAAAAACTTTCACTGACCTTGAGAAGGATTCACGTTTGTGATAGTGGGTGTGGCAGCCATTGTCCATTCAAATGATGCATCGCCACCCGAAGCCAGAGCTGTACTGATGTCGTTGATAAAAGCGGTCACCTGCATCATAATGTTTGAATTCACGATTGATATATTTTAGATCATAGGTTTTATTACTGTTTCCAATTATATAAAGAATTCCTTTGATAAAGATTTATGCGATAAAAAGTATCGATTTACATTGATGCGTTGTATTTTAAAAAGTCAATGGTAAATAAATAAAAGCAATAAACCAAGGCAACATTTCGCAAATTATTTAGTTTCTGAATGAAGATAACTTATTTTTGGATGAAGCATTGTCAACAATTATTATTCATTTTGATTATGATTTATTTTCATTTTAACTTACGGCACCGAGAAAGATTGTGTTACGTAGTAATGAGCTTAAGGGTTAGATTTTTCAACAAAACCGTTGACTTTTTTGTAGTTTAATGTCGGTTGAAGGAGTTGGTGAATTCACCCAGGCGCAAAAGTTACGCGAGTTCGAATCTAATCAAATAACTATCCTTTATTTCCAATACATTCTGTCTCCTCATTTTCGAAATATTAATACAAATATACAAAAAAAAAAAAAAAAAAGATTCAAGTAATACTTTGTAAGATTAATGATAAAGTTAGAAAAAAAAACTAAAAATTAAAATGAGAGCAAATAATCGTCAAAATTATTGAAAAACTAAATTTGAAAGAATTTACTTTTTTTATATTTAAACATCAGGAGCAATGTCGTCAATATAATTGAAACATTCATTTGGTTGTCTCATAAAGAGATGAGTGGAGAGTTGAACTGCTTTTTTAGTGATAGGTGAAAGAAGTCAGTCTTCAAAATTACGGGCACCCGACAGACATCTTTCAGCAATCCAACTCAGAGGATACTTCATATCTCTATCTATAAAAAGGCAGGATGTGTGTGTGTGTGTAACGAATGCACGCCCGCAATTTTCGACGGATTTGCACCAAAATTTACATGCACATGCTCCAAGTTAGCGGGAAGGCCAAGACCGACTTTGCATTTCCCAACTCCCATCGATAGTGGAAATAATCGATTTTTTCATGCTTCTACTGCAGTTTTCATGTAGTTTGCGGCCATTATCTACTGGACAGAGTGAGAATAGGCTGCAACGAATAGGCAGGAGAGCCAACAGCTGACTTAGACGAATGTTAACTAGCATGCTAGCATGCAAAAAAATCGATAGCTGCATTTGTCCCAAGTGTGAAATATTTAAATCTGCATGGCACTTTACTCCAATTGGCTCTTTCGCGTGCTTAAATTCAACGTTGGTTCTGATTCCGCAGAACTGGGTTGGGTGTGAAAAAGTATTTGTTGTTAACATTGTTTTTTCATTCAGTTTTTCCAGTTACGACTCCTTTTTTAAAGCTGATCGTTTTGTGTTCATTTTGTTTAGTTCTTTTTTCGTAACCGATTTAATGTTTAGTATAGAGCTTAGAAAAAATTCACAGTGTGAGATAGGCAAGAAGTAAGGCGTGTAGAGACATCAGCACAGCAAAGGGCACTTCTTTAAAGGCAAGAAAGGGCAAAAATATTTTAAGTCAAGTGATAGCGATTGCTGTATGAGTCGTACGATTTTTGAATCAAGCACGGGCATCGCCGGGCCATGCTGCTAGTAAATACTAATTATATGATTGATTATCTACTTTAACCATATTTTTCATGCTTCTCTTTGTTTACAAAGAAACTCTTGATTGTCGTAACTGGTTTTATCATTAGCAACACATTACGACGTAAGAGCAATCCAAAAAGGAAGGAATTTCCAGAGAATTTATTTCGCTACTTCCATTCCAGATAATTACGACTTGAGTAAGGAATGAAAGACGTCACTGAGGAAAACCATTCTTTTTACGTCCAAACTTATGAGACAGAGACAGCGTCTGTTGCTTTTTTTCATAACACTGATTGTTATTGTTGCTTCTTGTTCGTGTAATTTCAGTATCGGCTTATATTGTAAATTTAAACAAAGAAACATAAATATATTCTTCCAATTTCCGTCTTCTATGGTTTTGCGCATGGCTTGCTCTATTTGAACCTATGTACATGGAGTTTTCTTAATCGTAAATTTATAATATATGATATTCTTTTCCAGTATTTCTTTCGTTATTTCAGATTTTCCCACCTCCCAATTTCATCAATTAATTCTAAATATTGATGGAACTTCCTCATTTAGGATTCTGTTTAATATCTACCTCTATTTACCTGCTATCTCTTCTGTTTCTTTCCAACTTTTTTTATTGATCAATTTCTATTGTTTTAATGTTTTCCTCACCGGTCCCTTTATCAGTCAGCGTGTTTATCCTAGGTTTCAACCTCACTCATCCCTAGATACTTGAGATTGTTGAGATGTGAGCAAACACTTGAAATCGATGCTGAACAGATCCCCCAAAGCACCTATTAATTACTTCACTATCCTGATTACTTCGTGATTATTAAAATGAAGCTGTAAAACTTTTATACTTAAAAACAAGCGATGTATGTGATTGTGCGATAATGAATCACTTTTATGCCTGAAATCAACTATTTCTTCAAATATCATCACCATTAACGCATTTTTTGATAATTGGACTGTTGCCTGCAACAAAAGTTACAATAGTATACATATACCTATGTAGATATAACTATATATGCGATAAAGACAAATTAATGGTTCAGATCAGATGTTTCTATTAATATTTAATGTCATCATTTATAAGTTATTCGTAATTCTATATGTAAAATAAACAGCAATATCGAAGATTTTCAACTTACCTGTGGTTTTTTATGTATTGTTCTAAAATGTTCTCCTGGAACTGGTTTCATGTAGTAGCCGCCATAACGCGTAATTTTTACTGAGGAAGTTACATTAATCCCCGTAATGTTAGTTTTGATCAGCTAAAAATTGAATTCGTAAAAACAAGTGTTTTCTGTTTAGTAAACACATAGCTAAATAAATTGCTACTGTGAAAACAAATAATTTTGAATTTTCAACATTTTTATGAAATTTTCCGTAATATTAATACAGATATACAACACAGCCTAAATAAACAAAGCAGTTCTTTGCAAGATTAACAAGTAGCAAAAACGCCAGTAACAAAGTCTTTGCGTATCTTTGATGAAAAACTACTGTTTGCAAATCATGCTGATAAACTAATACAAAAACAGCAATAAATAGCGATTTATAATAATATTGTTATAATTATTGCGTCATTTAATTATAATCTTTCTTTACATCTGTCAACAGTTACTGTAATGGCATTTTAGAATTCATACAGATTGGATATCACGGCAAAAAGGTTTCTTTCGATTTATTCACTAAACATTCTACGATAATTACATGATATAAAATGCAAAGATAGCACTTTGCATGATGTGAATTTAGTTGTGGCTTCTCTATATTTCATTAAAAATGCTTGCATGAAATTTAATCTTCGCAGGTTTTGTTAGTAAAATACTTAAATCTTACAGTTAGCATATCTTTATGACCCGGGTTGGTGATCCATTCTATTGTATATGTTTTGCATGAACAATTGCCTTCAATATCGACATTCATTTTACCCATCGTCGGCATCGCTTCGAGATAATATTCCATTTCCTCTTTACTTGCCCAGACAGGAATATCTGAAATGGTGAAAATAAAATTAGAAAAGTTATCATATAATGTATAGCATGCTGACAGTGCCATCTACAAGCTGCACATTTAATATAATCTAGAAGTATCAAACATTTTATAGTTGGCTCTAGATTTCAAGTTACGGTACTAGTGTTATATGAATATTTCATCAAAATTCTTCTCCTTTTCACGCATTTAACTGATTTGTGAAAAATATCCCGTGAATGTCTGAAGAAAGCCGATAACTTTTATGTGAATGGCAAAGTGATTTTTGCATCTTAAAAGCGAAATATAACACCTGTTGTGAGAAAAGCTTACCAATTATATTTTGGATGCAAAATTGAACACAAAGACAAGAAGTGGACATCGCACATTTGCTGTAATGCCTGTGTAACAAATCTTATTCAATGGCTAACCAGGAAGAAATGCCCATGATTTGGAGAGAGACAACCGATAAAGCCACTGTTTGTTTACTTTTGTATGGTGCCTCCATTTGCTAAGGAGCTGTGAAAGAAAAAGAAATGAACAGCGCAATCTCCAAAAATTCCATCAGCATTGCATCTTTTCTCCCATAATGAAGATATATCAGCCCCAGAAGCACTGGAATCATATAAAATTGAGTCAGATGATGGGGAAAACAACGAAACCTCAGATTATTGTTCAATATCCGTCTTTGAACTACACTTCATAACTGTTAGGTTTCAGATTACAACAGTAGAATCTATTAGCTGGTGATGTACGGATTTCCCATTTCTGTGATTGTCTCAAGGATCTAGTCTCATTATTCCTTATGGAAAGTGATTTGGTGTAGTGCAAGGATACCAGTGGTCTTAACATCAGTTAAAATCCAGAAGAATTAAGATGCAAATCAAGAAGATCTTGAAAGGTGTAAGTGAGGGCAGAGATTCGAGAAAAAGTATCAGCAACAGTATTCTCAGTTCCTGGACGCTAAATAATACTGAATTTAAACTTGGGACAGCGCCAACGGCATATCTTATCACTTTTTATTTCGGATTTTCTAGTGTTATCGAACATAATGTCAATAATTTTTGGTGCGTGATGACTAAAATGTTTGTCAAGTAAAAAATGACGCTACTTCCGTAGATCTTCGACTATGGCAACAGCCTCCTTTTCAATAGCATGATGTTTGATTTCATTAGGATTCAGGCTACGAGAAAAGAATGTAACAGGTCGGCCATGTTGAATTAAAGTTATTGCTAGGCAGTAATTGCTAGCATCTGTTTCTACTTCAAATTCTTTATTAGGGCCAACTTCTTTTAAACCATTTTTCAGCATTTGAAATGCATGTAACACTGATGGTGGTAGCAGAAACTGTGATTCAATAGTATTTTGTCTGAAAAGTTTTGAATAAATTTACCATAATATGAGAACGTCGCAACCATTCGTTTTTGAGATTTTTTATTTTAGAGGTGGCATCATTTCGAGAGGAGGTTTAAGTCTGCTGTAGTCAGGTGATACCTGGTTGTTTCGGATAGTGTACCCAAGTAATGTAATTGAATTAGTCGAAATGGTGCTTTTACTATTATTTAGTGTGATATTGTACTTCTTAGCCGCATCATAGAATTTTTATTATAATCATATTCTTCTTGGGTTTTCTCACATATTGTAAACATTACCCACAAAGACAAATATATCTGTCAATTTTTCCTTATCGATGATGTCAATACTTGTCTGGAATGCACACTGCTACATTTGTAACACCAAAAGTGGAGCGAGTAAATTGGTATAGTTTGCCACTTACTTCGAAGGCAGTGTACTTACGATCACTGTTGCTGATAAGGATCTGATGGTAAGCTGGTTTAAGATCAAGTGTAGTGAAGTTATTGTACTGGGTTATATCATCAGCCATTTTAGAAATGATGAGCACAGAGTTTTGTCACATCTAGTTCTGTAAACCTGTTTATAGTGTCGCTGTAATCGATTACAATTCTATTCTATTAAACTTTCTTTCAACAGCCTAGCAGTTTTTTCTCTTATAAATTTACTATCGGCAATAGTATGACGGCGTGACTTAGTGAATATTTGAGTTGCATTAACGTAAAGATGAGAAAAGAGTGGAGGAGGTGGAACCATCTATGGGTGGGATGTGGTCATTGTTAGAGACAGCTGCGACAATAAGTTCATCTCCAGGTCCATCAAATTTCAAAGTCACTCTGTGATACTTTTTAGGATGTCCTTTCCTATGATGATATCAATGAACAGATCTTTTATCACTTCCATTATCATGCCAAAATATGTCCTATTATTCAGGGTGACATTAACTATCGCTTCACCATCAATTTTGGCGTTTTGGTAAGGGTCTGCCAGGATTATTACTTTCACTTCGGTATGATTCAATTTTTTGCAGTGCTTTTGCTAATAAAAGTTCCCACGCTACCAGAATCTGTCATGGCATCAACAATGTACCCATTTATTTTGCATTTGGTCAAGGTAATACCTTTTGTTTTTGTTCCTAGACAAGCGAGACTAGGAGGGTCAGGATCATATAATGCAGCATTTACAGAGGATCTACATACCTTGGCCCAATGTCCTTTTTTTTAAACATTTTTTTTCAATCAGCATTTCGGGTAGGACATAGATGACATGGATAACGTGAGTTTCCACAGAAGAAACAAATCTCTTTAGGTCTAGCGTCTTTTTGTAACGTAGCTAGATTGGCATTTTCCTCTAAAGAAATTATGGGAGCGGTAATTATATTACCTTGCTCGTAGCACTGCTTGCTCCAGTGATCTGGCCATCACATACACGTTTGGAAGTGTTAGTGAGGATTTTTCGAGCAAGCGTTGTTGAATTGATGGGGAGATGATGCCACTGATAAACGCATCTCGCACGCATTGTTTTGTTTTCCTCGGCTGTTACAGCTTGGATTTCCAAGCCTTGCATAAAATAGTCTATTGTTTGGCTGGTTGCTGTTTAAGTGTAATGAACCGGTGTCGATTGTATACAATATTTATGGGTTTGATGTATGTAACATCAATGGTTCTCATTGCAGAGTTAAAGTCATTGGCGTTGCTTATTATTTCAAATACTGCCGCTGATATTAATTAAAACGAAAAAGTTCCGTTTTTTTTCGACTTCGTTATTATTGGTTAACAGTGCGTAGATAATTGGTAAACATAACTTTGCAGTGTTGGTATAGATTTTCCGAGTTAGGAGTTGTAGGTTCGATATCGAATCCGGACATCTTGTCTGTAACATGTCGATGATTCACTTCTTAGATTAAGCAAAACCTGGTGCCGTGAGTGACGAGCACGATGAACGATTTCATCAAGACATTGAAGCAATGGAGAAAAGTTATCAGGGCAGGTGGATCCCACCAACGTTGGCTGATTATTATTACAGATATTACTCTTTGACAGTCCTCTGCCAGTTTTTGGAGAGTCAACCCTTGTTCGTTCTCAAGCTTGGTCAGTACCCGTCGTCTGACTTTGGCGTCTTCTGCTGATACTGGACCTTGTGCGAAAATTAAGCATTTGAAATCATCGGCAGTCAGTTCGGCTAGTTTAAAATCATTACAGAGCTTGTTTACCGATGCTGCAAACGTTAGAAAATCTTGCTGGTTGTCTTTGACTGTGTTCAGGCATTTCCAACGTTTGTGGAACAAGGTTGTGTTAGGCCCGAATAGTTCCGATAGGAGCTTAATAGTCTCTGAAAAATCCAAGTCTGTGGTTTTCTTGGGTAGTATGAAGTCTACGAACCTACTATGTTCTGTAGTTCCCAGTTTTCTCAATAGTAGATGTACCTTTTTTACTGGGCCATTGTTTACAGTCTATGTTGAGAATATCTTCGTAGCGCCTGTAAAAAGCCTCGAACGTTTTGTCGTTCTCTGGTACGTATTCAAAGGTTTCCATTGAATTGTAGATTGTACTCTGGGAGAATATTGTATCTTTTTCAGAGTTTGAGCCTTTTAATGCATTTACGAGTAATTCTTTAAGTTGTTTCTGTTGTAGTTCAGCATTCTGAAGTGTAATTTGATGGAATTCCATTTGTTGTTTATGTAATTCCAAAAATAGTTGTTGTTGTCTTTCTTCTGATTTTTGTTGCTGATCCAAATGTACTTTTAGCATTTGGACGATTACTTTTTGAAAATCTTCCATATTTAGACAAACAAAAATGACAGCGATTTTTTGTTGCATTGAAACCCGTGTACCAAGGGTAGGTACACAAAAAAATCTTGATAGATTTTTTTTTTTTTACAAAAAAAAATATAGACTGTCAATTAGTTAAACTAAACTAATTATGTGTTTACCTTTTTTGAGATTCCGTGGTTCCGTTAATTTTAACGTAATTGTATAAATTTTCACTACACTTATTATGTATTTTTTTTTTTATAGAGGTACAAAAAAGAGAAAACTCGCCTCAGTGAACTTGAGGGGAGAATAATTTTATGCACGAGATTCAACTCAGTTACCTAAAAAAATTTTTAGATAGTTTTTTTCGAAAACTAGAGTCGTAAGTAGTACTTCGGCTCTTGTATTGTCAGTTTGTTTTATGAACAAGCTGTTTTTTCTGTGTGTGGGTGTGTAAGAAATCGTTCTCGTTATGTTATTTGGACAGACTTTAATATTCCGTAGATGTCGAATCGCTAGTTCGTCACTGATGTTTGGTATCGGAATATATATTTTTTTTATATGTAGACGCTGGGTGTTGCGTTTAAATCGCTGATGTAGTAATACCAGCTTAATTTCTCGTTCAACGCTGCTGTGGGAACGCGTGGAGTTTCTGTGTATTTTTCGAGTACTCTGTCGCTATTGATATGGTGAGAACGAAATTCTCGAATCTTTCTGTCGCCACTAATGTGGGACTGGCAAGGTATTGAGGTTTTCGACGTGAATGCGTTTCTCGAATTCTTCGTCGCCACTGATGTGGGACTGGTAAGGTATTGAGGTTTCGGCGTGAGTGCATTTCTCGAATTCTCCGTCGCCACTGATGTGGGCCCAAAGTTGGGACCACGGAAGGATAACACGGAACACGGATTAGAGGTAAGAAAGATATATTAAACAAAAAGGTTACAAAGATAGTGTAAGCGTAAGCGGAGCTTACTATGTGCTAGTGTCCAATATTGGTAGTCGTACGCGGCTGATAATACGGTATTAGAATACTCTCTCTCTCTCTCTCTCCCTTTCCTCCTTTTCTCTTAGAGTATTATATCACATACTTTATATAGTCCTGGAAGAGTCCATGTTGTAGGTATGTTACGGTCTCACAACACATATTTTAGATGTTGTCCACAGATTTACAATTTCTTTACCTTGTAGAGGGTGCAAAGAAGTCCCTCAAACAAATAATAAAAAGAAAATACACTACAAATAAAGTAAAATAAACTTTTGTTTATTTTTGTAAAGAATTATTTTTTCCCTTGTACAAAATGAAATTGTCCGTAAAGCTGCGGAAGAAAAAAGAAAGAAAAGGAACTGGGAATGTGAGAGAGGAAAGGTAGGACTATGTGTAGCGAGCGAGATGAGAGAAAGAGAGGGTGAAAGAATGTTCACTGATACGTGATACTGCCTGTTGTGTGAACCGCTGAATCCTCTCGGTGTGTGTGTGCTCGAAACTGTCCGTGTCGCTTTGATGTCAGCTTGTCGCTGTCTCTCTCCCTCTGATGAGAGTTTCTACCTTCCTTATATAAGAATGATGAGGCTCCGGGGAGATTAAGAAATGGGTTTCTTATGTCGAGCCCTGATTGGTCAATAAATCCTATTTTTGACCACGTGGTGCTTCTTTTCACCACGTCCGAACTTTTGGGTGCGCCGTCCTTGTTTTTGACCCCACAGGGCATGGTAAGGAAATGAATTCCCGCGCAATTGTATTTTTTGATACACGTGGTGTGAATTAATTTTTATTGTGTGTATGTGTGCGTGGAAAATAAAATAAGAAACAGCACAATCTTGACTGAACAGAGAAGAAATGGTTATTTTTTTATTTGTCGATTTACCATTATACGGTAAATATGTAATTAAGATAGATATAGAGATACATAGAAAGAGCGAGAAGGAAAGAGACAGATATAATAGATATCAACCTAATTTAATAGTATCTAAAGACATGTCAATTATTTTCATACGTATGCACACGATGCTAACTTACCAGCGCTTTCTTCATTGCGAAAGAGTAACCTGATTGAACCCCCAAGAGGAGGACTTGCTGCTTGCAGACGCCACACACCAGCAGGGAGTTGATTTACGGGGATGGTTGTTACACTTTCACTTCTATTCAATGTTAGCTGCAAAGGAAACACATTAGTCACTTTCTAATATCTTTATAATTTGGTAAATAATGATTAATGCCATTAAATAATGTACATTTTAGCGGATACTATACTGTAGAGGCACATTATCGTATAGAACCTTATTTCATTAGATGTCAAAGAAAATGTCGAAGAGGGAAGAGAAAATTCTTTCAACAAAAACGTTAAATCGATCAGTAAAATTTATATCTAAAATATGCTTTCTTACAGATTTCTCGTCATTCTTCATGACCATGTATATTGCAATATCTAGGGTTAGATTGAAACACTGAATTTATTCTGATATTAGGAAATCCAAGATGAGAAGCAGCTGGATATTAAATATACACTGTTCTAAGTATATAAATGAGTGGAACAAACTAAAACAATACATCCGAGGCGTACCACACTGAAATTGTTGAAAATCTTGTATTTTCAAGTCAATATCATGCTTTTATATGTAAATATTTGCTTAAATATGTGAATAATCAATTACAATTTCATGAAAAAAATATTAACATTGCTTGCATAATGAATTGTAACGCTTTGAGTAAATAATGGCTGTAGGGATATTCTAGTAACACTAACTTGTCTGTTTAGGGTCAAACGAATTTAGACGTATGAGATAATTTGAACGAGTTTCACGATTACAAACTTGGTCGATCAAAATTTGTAGTTGTAAGCAAACTTGAATAAGTAATATTTGCATCAAAAGTACATCCAAGGGTCGACAGAAAAGTTCATAGTCTGGCCAACATAATCTCATGGCATGTGACCAAATGAAGTTTATTTTTTAAAAAGTACCCATTGAGGTCCGCACAATTCTTCCATTGGTGTTGCGATGCTTCGATCCCATTGGTGAAGAAGCTTTTATTCTGTTGATAAAAGCTACAGTCACGCAGAGCAGCAGCCATTGAAACCAAGGACATCCAGTGGAGCAATGTCCTGATAAATCAAGACTCCTTTCGTCACTTTTCCAGTGCATTTAGTCTTGATACTCTTACGTAACTACCTCAGCAAGTTGGTATGGTACTCTGTTGATGATGTGATCATCAACAGAGTACCATGTTTTGAAGATAGTCAATAAACACAATCACCATGTGGTGAATACGATCAGTATTTTCCTATGTGGTGGCAGTTGCAGGATGTCCAGATCATGGATCCTTTTCAAGATTCTCCCTTCGTCTCCTAAATTCAGCTACTCACTTTTGCAATTGGTAATACTGGAGCGCCATCCCCTAATGTATCAACCATGTCAGGATGAATGTCTTTTGGAGCTAAGCCTTTTTCTGCAGGTACTTGATAACATCACGATGTTAAATTTTGTACAGTTTCAAGAGACGTCACTACAAGTTACTTTTGAAGTTTTCTTTGAACAGTCAGATGTGATATCACTAACTGGAGAGAAACAATGCAGCTATTAATAAGAGTTGAAAATTAATGCATTAAATATTTCACAGCTCTAGCATCACTCCTTCATAGTCAGCCTATGAATTTTTCAGACCACTCTTGTATATTCACACAATTTGTTAGTCAAATGCAAGTTTTGTGCAAATTTAAATTTTTTAAAAACTTACAAATGTAACGGAAAAGTATTAATTTTCTACATCTTGCCATATCAGTGAATAATTTCACAACGTAATAATTTTTAACATATTCCCATACCTTATTTGGTAATGTTTGAAAGAGTAATAAATTGTCGGTACAGTTGTAGGATTCGAGTGTTATTTGATACAAACTGCGACCAAGTTTTTTAACTTGCAGCTCCTTTACAGCGAGAATGTTGCTCAAGGGAGGTAACTGCCGTACCATAGCATTTGTAAGCACTAAAATAAAGTGAAAAATATTAGTAGCATACAATTGCGAAAGAAGATACATTTATGAATATTTTAATACAGCGTTTACATATCATATTTTAGCATAATAATTCATGTGAATCGACCGGCGCTAATATCTCAATGTTTACGCTAGAGTAAAAATAAAACAACTCTCAATTAGTTCATATCTGACGTTTAATGCAGAAATCCCGCTTTTTAATGGATAAGTAAGTCCGGGTAAACAAAAGAATATTTTATTTTGCATAAATAATTTCAGTTCGATACAGCCAACAAGATGATAGGTAGAAAACATATTGCAAAGGCCACAGCGTCGTCGATCGCGACGACTACATTAAAGAAACAAATTAAAACAAATTAATTTTTATAAAGGTGCTGAAAGAAAATAGACCCTGTATAGATTTGTTTGTTATATTTTCGTTTCAAAGATGGATAAGGACAAGTCAACACAACGGGTACAGATAATGAAAAAGTATGTTTTACTTTGTTCCATGTGCGACAACACAAATAGTAAAGGACAGGAAAGCCCAAGCAAGTCATTAGTTTGGAAACTTTATGAAAAACCATTAAGGAACATGTATTATTTCGTAATTTATGTTTTATACACATTTTACTTAAATTTGCTTAATTTTATTAAAACATTTACTTGATATGCAGCAAGAAATAAACGTTTTATTAATTATTTTTAAACTAGGACACTTACAGAGAGTAATTGGTGAGTCACTATTATAATTCAAAAATTGCATTGGTGATGTTGATTTATGCTAATCATATTCGGTTAGTACAGTTATAACGTATTTTTGTAATGATGTTGCTTTTATACATTAGAGTTACAGACTAAAGTTATACACTTGAAAAGGGTATACGTATTTGTCTGTCTATTAGCATTTGGCACCGAAGATATGAAGCTATACAAGGTTCATTAAATAGAATGAAACTTACTTCGTAGTCCCACTATTTTATTTTTACTTTAATCGCCTTTTGAGCCTAGGTTTGTTTTTGTCCAAATCTGATAAATTAGTTTAGTGTTTTTTTTTTAATTGTATTACCCCATACAAACGAGTGAGGAGAAGAGTAATCAAGACAGTAGATAACGATTGACATTGTATTTAATTTTTTTTTTTTTGAGTATCAAAGTTGACTGGAAAACATGAAGTCGGAAGAGCGTTCCGCAAAGAGAAGTTTGTTTCACAAATATTCTAGCAAATGACAAAAAAAAAAAAAAAAATGAATACGAAACTATTTTTACCTGAAGCTTCTTCCTTTTGTGCAATCTTTGTTAAAATAATCGAATCTATGTAAAGATCTTCTTTGGCTGTGATACGTTTAATATTGATTGATTCCAACAGATGTAACACTGCGCCGTTGATTTTGACTGATTTTAAAATATCAAAGCAGATATACTTCCAACTGGAAAATATAATGAGATTAGACATTCGTTAAGCAAATAGTTTATACAACTTAAACTAATTTTCATAATGACATTGACTGATTTTTCTGTCGATAAAATAAATAAAAATACAAATAAAGACACATTCATATTTCTTCAACACGCACGCACAATCTGTGGTTCATATTGCAATTTGACAGAGAGTGTATAATCTGATACGATGAGTATCAACTATCATATCGCATCAGATTATACAAGGCCTGTAGCTGTAACCATTCTATTGGTTACTATGATTTATGAATTCTCTTCAATCATATAGATGAATTTGAATAAAGATAAAGCACAGGTATTAAGCCAAATCTAATTAGATGCAAGTTACACGAGGCCTAAGCAACAAAACTATTGCTGACAATTATTTTGACGGTGTAAGTTTTATAATAAAGCTAACATTTTGTACCGATTTGAATTCTGAGTTTTCCCTGAAAAATAACTTATTTTAAATGCAACTAATGAAATGCAAGGCTGAAATCAGCGATTATAAGAATACTGCTTCAAAAGACTTTGTGATACAAATAATGTTTATCCTTATACGCATATACAAATATAATTGCTTACTGATATTAATGAATACTTTTGTAAAAAGGATTGCTTACTCATCTATATGCGTTAAATATGTTGCAATATATTGCTGCTTGCTTTGTGCTTTGGTGGCTGATGGAAAGCGGTACATTAATTTCACTTCCAGATTGATATTGACATCACCACGAAATGCAGCACACATCTAAAGGAAGACAAATATTACTTGGTGAAAATGATAAACATACATTTACGATTATAATCTATCTATAACATGAAAAGCTCGGATGCAATTGAATTATTGGAAAAACGAATCATTTTAGCATAAATATTCCGATGATAATGTACTACGAGATTTACACATAGATGAAGTATATTTTGTTTTTAGTGATGAAGCCATTTGCAATATTCTAAATTTGGAATTTTCTATTCGTTTATTGAGGGTCGGTCTTTCTAGCAATTGTATGAGTGATATTAATCTTCTATTCTTTTAGAAAAGAGAAAAATATATATCAGAGAAATATTTACAGTATTACAAAAATTCTTAGAAATAGTTTGGATTTTGTATTTCATTTGGATAGACGATAACGAAACTGCTACTAAGTTAAGACTTTATGTACATTATTTACATCATTCGGACTATTGTCCTCATCTTTGTCGCCATATTTATTACAACGTTTTGGCCATTGTACGCTCCGGCCTTCTTCAGGTGGTTGGAATGTCGAACTTAACTCTTTATTTCGCTCACTGGGGGTAGACTGTTCTAGATCCACGTGCCATGTTTAATGGATGTCAGTTATATCTTCCTTCTGAAAGTTCTCCACTGCCTTAGTCGGGTATTGAACTCACACTCTTTGGGTCATGTCACTGGATCTAACGCCTTTATCCACTGTGCCATGTGTCCAGCAATGAATTTCCGGGTATTATAAACCTAATGTCTTCAGCAACCTTTTTTTTAAGTGCTCATATTGCAATTTTTGATGTTATCATTAAATGCTTTACCAGAGCTCATATTGCAATTTTTGTTGTTGTTATCGCTTTTCTCTGGAACTCCTTATTACTGTGTGTACGCTATCCTGTGCAGTTGCGGAAAGAAATATAAAGGGGAGACAGACCTCTCCCTTAAAGTAAGGCTTCAAGAACACCAGAAAGCTGTAACACGAAAGGAAGTAGAAAAATCAGACGTGGCTGACCACATATATAGAGAGATCACCGCCCTCTGTGGGATCAGGTTGAAATCATAGGCAAAGTAAACCATTGAAAAATTCGTAAACTTAAGGAATCAGCACATATGCTAGGCCACAAAAATCTCCTGAGCCGACCAAGCATAGAAATGAATACAATATGGGAACCAGTACTAAGGAGAAAAGCGATAATAACAACAAAAATTGCAATATGAGCTCTGGTAAAACATGTAATGATAACAGCAAAAATTGCAATATGAGCACTGGTAAAAAATGGTTGCTGAAGAAATTAGGTTTATAATACCCAGAAATTCATACAGATGTCCTCAAGGACACATGGTACAGTTGATAAAGGCGTTAGTTAGCTCCAGTGACAGGACCCAAAGAGTGTGAGTTCAATATCTGGTTAAAACAGTGGAGAACTTTCAGAGGGAAATTAACAGGAGATAACTGATAACTGGCATCCATTAAACATGGCACGTGGAACTAGAACAGTCTACCCCAGTGAGTGAAATAAAGGGTTAAGTTCGACATTCCAACCACCTGAAGAAGGCCGGAGCGTACAACGGCCGAAACGTTGTAATAAATATGGCGACAAAGATGAGAACTATAGTCCGAATAATGTAAATAAAGTACATAATACCTCATCTCATAAATATAGACAGTTAAGACTTTATATAATAATTACTTATGTAAACCTAGTTTGTTATTTAGCAGCACGTAGTCATTATCGCGTAAGTTTCAACTTAGAAACATTTCTGGCCTATATAGTCGTATAGTAATATTAAATTCAATGGGGATAAGGCGTGTCAGATCTTCTCAGAGTAACCTTTATAACCTTACTTTCACCCAGTCATTTTCGCTTCTAGTCCTCACTTGCCAGCAGGCTTGGTTCCGTGCCTGGGCTCCGCACTTAGAGAATGATTCTGACTGAAGACCTGCTGTCTGATTTTCTGATGATGGTACGGGATCCCTTTAAGCTTTTTGTCTGTATTTTTCTCCGCATTCATGGATGTCTCTTCATTAAGGTTACTATCTGCTTGATAGTCGAAGACCCGAACCTTATAGTGACTCCTAATAAGGTGCATAATATAAGGGCTACTGTATTGCCATTTTGTGAAATGGCTATGGACCATGTAAGTTTCCGTTGGGCCTATGAATGCCATGATTCGGAGTTCAATTACAACTATACTTTCTGACATTCAATTCAGATAGAGATTTTTTCACAGATGGGTGCTGTTTTTGTTTGGCTAACTTGATCTTCACTTTTACATACCAAACCATGAAAAAAAAAAAACAAAAACAAAAACAAAAAAAACTGTAGAATCAAATCCAGTTGTTACAAACCAAATTATAGGCCCCAAGTTCTCCATCTTCTAAATTAATCTAAGGGATCTACGTCTCAGCTATTTAGAATTTGAACTCCATCTTCAAGAGTCAAACCTAGTTTTAGCTTCCTATCTGCAACTAGACTCGTTGTATTCCAGTTTGAGAATTTATTATCCTATGCTATGCTCTATTTTTGCAAAAGACGAAAAATGCAGTATTGTTGCCATATCTGGTATGGAGTTACCCAATCCTCACTTTCCAGAGTTCAGAAGCGTTTTACTCCGCCTTGTGGGCGAAGAATCACCTTTTCCACAGACGAAACGTCGCAAGCACATCATTATACTATATTGCTATTCCAATGGCAAATATTCAGACGAGCTACATTCTTTAGTTCCATCAGTTCAGACCTTTATAGTTGGGATTCGCTATTTCGCGTACACAAGGTCGAATAATCCTCATTCTTTCTTTTTCCATTGGTAAGAAAGAAGCCAGCTTCTTCCTGAAAACCGTTACTTGGTGGAACAGACGCCCGTGATGTTTTCCCGATCACTCCTGCATATCTTCATAACATGCACTTACTCCCTCCTCTGACATACATAAAACACCCTCATTCAATAATAAATATTTATGAGTGATTATTGGGTGGGAGGACCATTTAGTACTCCACTGCAAAAAAAAAAAAAAAAAAAAACGAGCAATCACCCGGCAGTAAATTTATTTTGACTAATCAGAATAAATTTACTTTCGCGCGATTGTTAATCTAGACACGTTTAATCGAATATTAAAAGTACATGATTGAAATTCCCTGAGGGTATATCATATGAGAAATAATATTTTCAAAGTATGAAAATATTTTGAACAAATTCGAAAAATTAAAATGAAATTTTATTTAATACTAGTTAAGTAAAAAATGTAAATCTGTTGAATTTTATTATCAATAAAAACACGAAATTTAAATTAATGTCTATTGATTTAATTTTAATATTTTTTACAAACTATTTAATGATGAGCCCCCTCCAGCCAAAAAAAAAAAAAAAAATATCGACACTGGTCATTCTAAACTTACTATTGCTCTTGATGCTATTCGTCAGTTAATACTGATTAAAAATTATTAACGCTTTATTTTTAACATTATTCAATAGAAAAATAGTTATTACATTAATAATTTCTATTCTTATTAATTTTTGTGATTTTTTAATTATCTAAGAACTTTTATTATCAAAATGGATCTGTTTTTTTCGAAAGGTGTATTTAAAAAAACAACAAAAAAAAACGCTATTATGTTTTTTAAAAAAATACGAAAAATCAGGAAATTTCCCGATCTAAATGAAATTTTCAGTACTTTCATTAATGAATGAATTGTATACTGAATACGTTATGGAAATATTTTTTGGTCAGTTACACCCCATTTTGATAAGTCATGAATATTTTTAAAATTGCGAGGTGTGGACAAATATTTTCTATAGTCTCATGAAGAAAAATCCCTGAAGATATTTCAGTAAAAATTTTTTGCAATACCAAATATGAACATTTTGAAAATTTCTCCTGAAACTTTATAAAAATATTTCAGTAAAACTTGCTTTTAGATTTGACAGGAAAAAAAATGTAGAATTACTATTAAAAAAAAAAATGTTTTAATTTTTCAATGCGATTTTGAAAATCTTCCGGTTGCTGGTAACAAAAGATATCTTTTATTAAATAAAAATGTGAAGAATTAAAACACATTTTCAAGAGAAATATAACAGAATTCTATTTTATTCTTTGTACGGAAAATCAAGTAAGAAACAAATCAACAATTCTAAATTAAGTCTTTATCGGTTATATAAGATTAAAAATAAATATGCATGATATTTGAAGTTGTCTAGAATTTTGTGGGGGAAAAGGTTTCCGAAAGAAAGCAAAGTGAAAGTAATCAACAATATCAAGTCAATTTACCCCCCCCCCATTTTGTATAGTAACATTTTTGAGTTGAATAAATGCAATGGATAAAAAAATATTAATTGTATTATTTTAAATATTTTTATATTCTCATTAATATAAAAATAATAATTCTAAATTTCATAAAGTTCTATAGAATAAAAGATATAGAGGAAAATCTCTTTTTATAGATTAGCTTTAGGCTATTATCTAATAAATATTAACAAAATTTGACTAAATAGAAAACATTTAAATTGTTAAATGCGTTTTTAACTTTTTTTTTAGCTCAAATTTTGGTGATACCTACTATTTAAATATTTTCTTATTCGATGCAATAAAAAAAATGTAACGAAACGAGAAAATAAAATGTTAATTGTTAAATTATTCCAGTCAATAGCCAAACAAAAATAATTTACTGTAAAGACAATACTCACTGTAGGGTAGTTCTCCAGGTAGACATTTTTTATTTCTTCTTTCCGGAAGATATATTCGGGATTTCTGACTGATACTTTACCACAAAATGGTATCTGATCGTAGATTTTCTGTCCATTATGATTGCTGTCTGAAGTGAGCTCAAAATCATTTCGGAATATTGTGTTTTTATTAGGAGCAGTAACGAAGTTTTGGCAACGCACTCGAAACATTTCGTCCAGAGCATTTTTTACCTGATAAAGAAAAATGTATTTGAACTTAATATTTCAATCATAATTTTAATTAAAAAAAAAAACATGAAGTAAAAAATTTAAGATAATATATAGTGATAGTTGAGGAAAGAAAACTTTTCTTAAATAGTTTATCCAGAGTTTTTTCTTTTTATGCTATGCTGTTGTTCTTGCTAAGAAATCATTTGTAAAAGCGCATGTTTTGTGTATAAAGATAAACATACATATACAAACATATTTGTTTTAAAACTTATTTGTGATTGTATAGTAAACAGAAAGTGAAAGTTGATGCTTCCATAGCGGAAATAGTAGTGGACAAAATTGTTTTTCTGCGCAGGAAAATCGCTCTTAACTTCCTAAAATAAAATAAAAAAAGAATTAAAATATTTCAGCTAATAAGAAGGCTTCTCCTCTTGAGTCAGTCTAGACCAGTGTTTCTTAAGCTTTTTTTTTTTACTTTTTAGAAAAATTAAAACTCTGGGGTGCACTTTAAAATTAGTCATGAATTTTGAAAGTATGAATTTTTGTTGTAGCATTCCCAATAAAGATAAGCGGTTTATGAAGAATCTATTTCATTTAGAAAGTTTCATAAGGACTGGTCTAAATCCATCGAGGAAGGAAAAATGGAAAGGATTACCCACTCCTTCTTAAAGATTAATGAATCTAGCATCCAGTTATGAAATGACAATGACTTGACTTGGACATGGAAGTCATGTGCTTGTGTTCCTGTAGTTTAAATTAAGAGTCTTCTTTTTTCTCTTCCACTTGGCACTCTCAGCAATTGCCAAATTCCTCTTTTGGGGGTGGGGGTTGTTAATTCTGAGTGAAAATCTATTTATTATTGTAAAAAATACAATAATTGTGGCACAATGTCAAAGGGAAATTGAGTAAAGGCTGGTCTTAGTCCTAGTTAATCACAATCACGACCCATTCAGCCAATTTATCCACTTACCACACTCAATATACCAAAATACCACACATTCACATGGGACCTACAAAACACCCCATGTTATAAAAATCTCATGAAAGTTCAAAATGTCTAAATATAAAAATTCCATGAATCATGAAATGAGGGGGGGATGAACCCTGAAAAATAATAAACAAAACAAACTAAAACAAAACAGATTTTAGTAGGACCCGTCCACCTCTCAAAATAATAAGAGTGACCGCTGTATTTTGTCGATGAACAAAATCAAGTAGCACGCTCATTAATAGAGTGGGAAGTGTAAAAATAAATGACAGAATAGGAAAATCTGTCTGAGCCAGCCGAGATGAGAAAAAGGGGGAAAAAGTCAAACTGGGGAGGGATTATAACAAAACACTTCATCTTCAGATTCACCATTCTTACCATGGCTAGCAACGTCAGAAAGACCATTCGTTTCTCCCCAGGATACGGGGGCAACAAATAAGATCAATCACCACATCCAATCGGGAGCGATACGAGCCGTCAACTCACAGACATAATCCTAGAAGAGTCGCATTTGAGGACAATGTTAGAAGGTAAGTGAAACCGTTTCTTCTAACGCATGATCACACCAATGACAGTCGGGCAAATGCGCCCAGCCCCATCTGAAAATCCTGTCATTGAGAGATAGCATGTTCCGAATCAATCGCCAGGTAAGCGAAAACTCAGAGTTACTGAGGTAATTCGCTGCTGGCGCCCAAGACCAGAAAGAGCGCAATTCAGCCACCGACAAGCCGGACCATCCACAGAGTGGATTCTTCGCGACTCCCTCCACTAATACACGATACAAGGCCCTCCGAGGACGTGAAAGGTCAGTGAACCTAGGAACGACCCTTAAGGCCGCTGGACACTCGTTGAGGAAATTCGATAGTTTCCCGGACCTGCGACGGCGCTTGAGGGGGGTGATGGAAGGCATCCCTAATATTTCCCGCCAAAATCGAATTCACAGTAAAACGCGGCGTAAGAAAGCCAATCTTGAGACGTGTTGATAACTCACCATCCCCCACCATGACACGTACGATGGGCACAGCATTCTTTGCGGACCTTCTGCTTGCTACCACTTCACAAGACGGTGGACAACAAGCGCTCGATTGCCTTCCACAGTCATTGCAAAGAGAGAGTACAGAATGAGAGGAAAGACGTAAGTGGCACACGACTCAGCCCTATACTACAAGGACTTAGTCCTTCAGGGCCAAGTCCCGACCGACGCTTTACCTCTACTTCTGACGAACTTTTCTCCTGTTCTAAGAATGGGTACAGGACAGTTCGCCCAACCAAGAGGCCCTGGAAGAGCGACCCCCTTCCAGGTACCTAACCGAAAGCCGGAAGACTTGTGGTTAATCTTGGTTCCCGTGACCTTTTCGTATCGTTCAAGCGCTCTCTGTACCACCTCAATGTCGCTGCTACACGACACGAAAATAGATATGTCATCGGCGTACGCGAAAAACCTGGATCGTGCGCCACCAGGGATAGCGATTCCACGTAGGGCCGAACTGCTCGTCCCATCTCTCAGCCGCCGAAGTAGAGGCGACAATGGGAAGCCCTGACGGACCGAGGGAACAGCGCAAAAGGGCGCGACCGCTTTCCGTTCACCTGTACCACAGCACTTGCAGAAGTCGAGTTTGAATCCAATGGCCTGCAGACAGCAGCCAGGTACCGATGGTCGACCCTATCAAATGCCTTGGACTGATCCAAATTGATCAGCGCGGCTTGCTCGTCATCTTTTACACACTTTAGGATCGTGCGGATCAGATGCATGTTGCTCTGAATTGTTCAGCCCTTCACAGCACGTCTGCTCGGGTCCCAACAAAATCTCAGCAACTGACTGGATCTTGGCCAAAATCTTTAACTCTGTGTTTAGCAGACTTATAGGCCTGTAATTCCCGCCCACCGTGCTTACCCTTTTTCAACAGGGTAATCACACCCTGGTGATTCGATTTGAGATGGACTCGTGCTGGAACCAATTGTTGTACACGATAGTCAAAGTCGACACAAAGATGTGCGATAGCCTCAAGTACAATTCATAGGGTAAACCAGGGGACTTGCCACCGCTAACCCTCTTCAATGCCAAGTAGATTTTCACCCTCCGTGATCTCACCCTCACAGCTAGCTACTTCAGTCGGCGAAAACCGAGGAAAGTTAGCCAAATAGCTGCTAAATATCACAGCGACCAGTTTCTTTGATAAACCGGTTCTCGAAATGCCGCCGAAACGCCTCGCACATATCATCACTCGACCTCAGAGAACGCTTTTCAGGGGTATTGACTTCATGAATGTACCGATCGAAACCTCGACGGATCTCTTCTATGCACAATACTAATCCCATGTTCACGGCTTCGTTAGACATCTTGTTTAGCCTATGCCTAACTACCTGACCCTTGTAGCGCTCGCTAGCCGCGTGCTCCAGAGCCTACCTAGCTAAACCTTTAAGTGTCTTCACGTTTTTAGCCTTATCTAGTGCGAGCTGCTGGCTATATTCGGTGGCGAACGACTTAATCCTATCCTTAAGCCCCTCCTACCACCCATTCCCAATACCCCGCCACCCTCTAGTTCCCGCGGCAGTAGTCTAATTAGCTGTTGCTGGAAGTCCCGCCTGTCCATTAAAGACAGATTGAACTTCCAGTGTCCAGCCATTCTAGGCATAGCATCTAAACGCTCTCCGGGCACAGACAAGTCTATGGTCCGAATATTTTCATCCAACTCGTTTTTCTTTCTTTGAATTCTTGCTTTCTTTTTCCACCTCTTCATCCTCTGTCCCGTTTTATACAGAGGAGGGCCGGGGTGGGTGCAACTTGACATTTGTCCTGTTCAAGGTCACCTTGCTGTTGCTCTTGTCCTTGCTGACAATCCTCTTGTAATTGGAGCTTCTGCTGCTGATTGCTTTTCTTTTCTTTCTGATATCCCGCTGGTCGGGGAGACGTTGCCGACTTTCTTTCTTTCTTTCTTTACTTCAGTCCATTCCCCTGGACCTTTAGAAAATTTTGAGCTTTTCCCAGCTTCTATACTTTCCCTGTTAATTGGTGATTGCGGTTGTACTTCCGGTTTTTTTCTCGGAGAAAACGTTTGAAAGGTGAGCAGATTTCCCACAGGCCCAGCAGAGAAGTCGGCACCCTTCTACAACAACGTAGATGAGACGTCCGCCACATATGTTGGGTATGACCATAAAAGCTCTTCCTATTTGCGGTTAACATGATTTCCAGGTCACCGGTGGCAGTGCCCGTCTTAATTTTAACTCATGCCACCTCTACAACCTTCAAAAATTTGGAAAAAAAAAACCCTAAGGAGTACTCCATGTAGGGTCACCTTAACTTTTTTTGCCACCATATACACAGTCTGATGCCTCACTGTTTTTATGAGAATACTGCCAAATTTTTTTGTGACAATACTGCATGCTAACAATTTAGCAGCATCTTCTGTCCGGGGTAATATGTCCCACATTGCGTTGCTTCGTCGGGACAATACTTTAACTCCAATGTTGAGGCTTTTTACGACCTCCTCCATGACCTCCTTGTTGACGTTGATCAATTTACGCGTTTCGATATCTGTAGTCAACAGGGAGATGGTTCTACTGTTCACTGTTTCCAGAAGTGATGGCACTGGTAGTAGCTCGTATCAGGAAACAAACTTTTCAAACTACTCAGTAAGTACCTTATAATACTCTGGTCTTTTGGGGGGAGGGTCCATCTCCTGCCCACATTGCAGAGGGTGTCGACTCGTGGAGTTGGGATTGCGCCATAGCGCTGGCGTTCCCACGACACCGTTCACAAATATAAACCAAACAACGAACACGAATTTACGTACGAAGAACAAAATTATGCAGAGTTCAAAATTAACGTGGACAAAATGAAACACTCAAAAGCAACTGACGTGAATACAGCTGAAAGTAAACTTAAACGAAAATAAAACTGCACTTAAGAAAAAACAAACAATTGCCGTTCTCAACGTGCGTTTCGTTATCGACCTCGCCAACAACAACGAAAGTGGGCCCGTAAGATGGAATAAACGAGACTTTTACGATATCCTATCCGACGCTTCCGGCTAAATCCTGAGTGACGATATTCAGTCCCCCCCCCTAAATCCTGAGTGACAGTTTCGTTAGGCAAATCATTGGCTTTTATAGCTCTCCACTGGATGATCTTATTTCAGTCAATAGGGGGTGACATCTATTAAATCCTGTCTCTGTGCTGGGCAGTAAATTTTATTTTTATTTTTCTCTTCAACCACAGTTCCCTAACTTTTTAAATATAAAATAATTAATATTACTCTTCTTGGGTTCGCAGCTGGCTACCAGTCATTGCTCTAACTTTACAAGAGCTAGATCATGAGTACTGCTGTCATATCTGGGCTAGTGCAGTTCACTTTCTAGTTTTGATAGTCCAAAGGTGTCTATGCGGCCGTGTTGATGATGAATTTTTTCACATTATAACCCCTTTTCCCGCAGTGGAAACGTTGTAAGCCACTCGCTACTTACTGCTATTTCTATGGAAAATGTTCAAATGAGCTACATTCCTTAGTCCTCCCACCAACACTAACCCCCTCAGCTAAGAATCGCCATGTTACGTACAGTGAGGTGAACCCCCCTCATGCCCTTCGTATTCAGTTATTAAGGAGTAAGTTTCATTCGGATATCTTCGTTCCAAGAACTACTGTTTGTGGAACAGATTCCCAGTAGGATGCTTTCAAAGTTTAAGGTTAATCGTTATCTTTCCCCCCCACACATGGGCATTAACTACGTCCCTTACCCTCACACAACAATCGTCTTCAGTATCCGTTCACCCTGTGTGACCCTTGGCGCTTGTATAGGGTGAACATTATTAAAGAAATTGTTTGTATTATAGTTTCATTCTCTTTTCAGTGAACTCTAAGAGAAAATAACTTTTATTCTCTGAAGTGAATTGTGAATGTTTTATTGTATGAAGTGTATTATATTCTAAAACTACTAAACGTATTTTGTATTTGAATTTATGATTGTCTGAAAATATAAAATGGAAAGTATATATTTTGCAATGTGTTTTTAAAACTATTTTTGTGCTACTGAATAAACCGTACTTTTTGCCGAAGCCGTCGCCCGATAACGAACAAATTTATAGCTGGTTGCATTTCAAACTAATACTACGGATACCCTACGACAGACATTTTAAATCCTAACAGGTCGCCGCTGAATGTGTCGTTCAACTATCTACTTAAGATACATATGATAGATATTGTTTTTCTATTAAAGAATTATCTGATATTGATTTAAAAAAATCGGATTCTTTCGATAGGATTTCATCAACATTTTTTAAATTTTGAAAAGTTCTCTCCTCTTAAAATAAACTCTATTAATAAAATAAATTATTAAAAACTATAGAATAAATACCTTGATGGTGATTGAGGCTTAGAGTTGCAAATATTATAACAGATAAAAAGATAATATCATTTATATCACTCCATTAACATACATTAATATATATACATAAGTGTTACCAGTGATCAACAAGTTTCTAAGAAATCAGACTTTGTCTTACCATTTGTTCGGGTGCATCAACAGGTAAGACTGGTGACATAACATTGTCGAGATAAAAGGCGAATTGTTTGTTGCTTGCTGTTCCATTAAAATTCAACTTAACGCTCACTGTGAGGTTATTTCCATTTTTGTCCGAGATTGTCTCCACTCCGATCAGAGGTAGATTACCTAAAAATGGCAACAATTTTTTAAAACTTTAAGTATGATATTTAATCTCTCTCTGTCTCTCTCTTATATATATATATATATATATATATATATATATATATATATATCAGATTAAAAATAAATAAATAAAAAACATACAGCAACTCGTTCGCAACTTCTTTTATTATGATCATAAGTGTGTTTTAGAGATAATTTTATTCATGACATCTGTAAAACACACTTATGACCATAATAAGAGAGAATTAATCTATCAAACTAACTGTATCAATCCCAATTTAAAGTTATCAGTAAACTGAATATGTGCCGAGCTTGGATTGAATTTAAGGAAATCGGTGCTCAGTGCGTAAGGATGGGTTAAAGAAATTGAAGAACGAAAATAATTGTAAATTAAGGCTGAAAGTTGACACAACAATTGAAATGGATGCAGATTTTGGAATGGTTCAGTATATGAGAGGTACATTTAAAATCAAGTCAGTTTATTAAAAGTTTTTAGAGAATCCCTAATGTTAGTACCAGCTAAAGTTAAGAGTGAGAAATTTTGGCAGTCAAAATTTTTCACTTTTGCTCTAGCAAAAACCTACAGCTCAAGTATCAAATCCTAATTATCAAAACAGTTTAATACCATTCTGATATTATTCATTATTTCCGGTTAAAATGCTTTTTATTATTTCTAACGCATGTGCAAACACAATTTATTCAAAGGTTTCAGGTACATATACTCACCCACATCAAGTTTTAGAAAAATGAAGTAAATTGCTGAGTTGACTGTAAAATTGGCAGTAACTAGTACATTACCGCTTCCAATCATTGGCAAACTTTCCAATGCTTTCTGTACATCCAGAGGTATTGCATTACTGGACAGAGGAACTGTAATTAAGACAAATTAATACAACAAAATAAATCACATGAAAAACACGACGTAATTGTTCAATTGGGCATTCTATTTAAATATCGACAATTGAAAATGGCTTTCACGAACGTTACATGTGATTTTACCACTGAATGCATATTGTCATTCAGCATATTAAATCAATCTGCTAATAGTTTTTGTGCTATCTATTCGTTTTTAATGATTACCTGGGTCTTCATACTTTTTGTTGGAATGGCTCTCTGGTCATTACAGTGGCCGACGAATTCGAGCAAAGTGACTCCATTCAACTTTTTTTTTCATGAAGTTCAGCTAATCTGCTACTAAGATCCTCTAAAGGCTTCGCCAAGCTTTGATCGAGTACCTGTTTTTGAGTCGGTGTGTTTTAATGCTGATCGATTTTTAGTTCAAGATAAGGAGCAAAGCAAACAATCAAATATCAAAAAATGTAGGGAAAAATCGTGACCGTTGTCAGCTATTTCACATTAGAATCAGTTATGGAATCTTCCACGAGATACTAGCATAGTGGATTAAAGCCTTGGCTAAAAACATATCTGATTCCCTGGCAGTTGTGAATTCAGTTTCTAGTTTTAATAGGGCTCTGCGTTTCTCTCTTCAGTAAGGGAAACGGAAAAGCGACACAAAGGAGAATAAGACTGATGAGCATTATCTGAAATGAAATATACCTTAAACATGGAAATTACCGAGTATGGCAGATACCGGAAGGTACTATGGCTGAAATGTTGTGAGTGAAGATAAGTTTACTAATCTGGATGGAAAGGTTATAACAATTCCTCTTCTAAAAAATGAAAACAGACCATAATCGAATTATTAAAATATCCCTATTATGCATATAATAAATTGACATGGAATCAATTCATATGTAGCAGTAATGCATGGTTAACTTCTTTCAATTTTATCACATTCAAAACTACCCGTGGAGATATCAAATAATAAGGCTGTATTTGATCCAATTTCTACTTTTTAACTATTTTGTTTTCAACTCAGTTTTCAGCTTCTTGGATCAAAACGGTTTCTTTGTTCAGAAACAGTATAATCCCTTTTGAAATATCAATTTTACAAAAACACACAGACAAAAATACCAACAAAAAGAAAAACAAATGAATAAATGATAACAACTTTCAATTAAGTTTCACATTATATCTATAGCAAACAAAGTAAAATTTGACATTTTCAGTTATTCATTTTCGGACCCTAAATTCAGCAATTGGTTTGTTGGATTCAATCATATGAATCAATCAATCAATGAATCAAATTTCACTAATTCTGTTAATCAGCGCATGTAGGTTATATATTAGCCTCTTTCCGAATATGGATAAGTTAAAATATGAATAGAAATCATGAATATTTTATATTACTGGAAAATTTATTTAAAACTTTTTGTACAGCATAGTAATGCAGTTTATCAATCATGGCCTTTCTGTTGTTTAATTGGCCTCTTTGTATGCCGAACATTAGATTTTATAGTTTTCAGGCCAATATATTGTGAAATGAACATAATTTGTTTAAATCCAAGAAACCAACCTGTAGCCGTTCCACCGAATATCAATTTGAACATGGCATCTTTTCCAACGTGAAAAGGTTTGGTAACTCTCAGCTCTTGTATTTCGTCAACTGGTGCTTCTTCTGTTAAATTGTCCAATTTTATTACCTTTGTAAGAAAATGATAATACAACGAGTGAAATAAAAAATTAAACTGCAGGTTATGATTTGGAATGTATTAAGTCAAATTAAAGAAATATAATTTGAGACATAGGTTGATAGTCTATAATAATAAGAAAAATAAAAGATATTGTATATTTAACTTTATTTCTGTAGATTTTCATTACATTTAATTTTTTTTCCTTTTAGTTTGATAGCGCAACAGACTGTTCGTTTTTGGAAATACATATCAATATCGAGTGTGTGTGATATTTGTTGCAACAAAATTGCTTCTTTCCCAGCAGTATTAAATTTTATCATATACCATGTGTTTTTACATAATAAAAAGGCGTAATTTTAACGGATTATTGTAGTTAGCACCTTCCGTATTAACTACAAGATGCAGTTTATTAATAAAATCTTTTAACATTACATGAAATCGAAATGATATCAAATACTTTGGAATGCTTTTAAAATTGAAATAAACATCCTTAATTTTCAATAAATTCATTAAACACTTTTTTTTTACTTTATTCTCTTATCTTAAATTTCACATTTTAATATATTGTAATGCTTTCCCTGTGCAAAGAGAAATTTGACAGTAGTTAAATGTTGATTATGATAATATATTCTGTTAAAATTTCACTTTTTTTCAGTGGTATATATATATATATATATATATATATATATATATATATATGTGTGTGTGTGTATATATATATATATATATATATATATATATATATATATATATTCGAAATTTGAGCTCAATTCTCCCACGAATTCTGAAATTAAAAGCCCCATCTCTATTTTTATAGTAAATTATATATATATATATATATATATATAACTTAGAATTATACATATATATATAATTTGTATAAAATACAATTTATATATAGTAATTTATATATATGGTAATTTTATATATATATATATATATATATATATATATATATATATATATATATATAACTTTTCATGCGTAATCAATATATCCGTCATTAATAAGGTAACAATAAAGTCAGCGTCTTCTACAAGGGTATTACACAGACTATAGATACATAAATCGGTAGGCATAAACAAATTTACTGCGTATATTTAATGTGTATATAAATATTTAGTGTTATGACATTGAAACTCTTAAATTATTTATTATTGCCGTCTTGCACTGATATATCCGTTTATGTGACTAGAATTAATGCTTTAAAAAGTCATCGATCAGTTCTAATCAACATATGCAGCATATAATATATATCTCTTTATATTTGTGTTTGTGTATGTTTGTGTGTAATTTCAGCGCGTGATTATTTTTGAGATTGCAGACAAATATATAGTAAATATTATAACAATATTGTGCGTATAAAATACCAAAAACCTAAATATTTCTTTGACAGCAAGAATGAAATCACTTTATTATGAAAGAACAAGTGAATATATTCCATTTTTAACTACACCTTTATAATTAAAGTTCCATCAAGACATCTGTTTATAAGGGTATGCAAATACACATTTTCATAAAGATCTGTAACTCTGCACCTATTCGTAAAGGTTCTTAAGGACATATTCATAATTGTCTGACAAGACATTTTCATAAAGGATTGTAACTACACCTATGACCAAATGAAAACTCTCAGAGAAGCCTGGAAAGATATCTTTTATTATGCGTCTGTAACTACACATTTTCATTTAATAAATGCACCTTTTCATAAGATACCCTTTTTAATATCAGTCTGTGACTACACTTACTCATGTGTCTGTAAATATACCTTTACTCGACAGAAATAAAAGCTTTGAAGTTGATTTATAAGGATGTTGTTGTTAAGCATGTACCTTGCATAAAATCAGCTGTTAATGCTGTCTTAAACTAATACGCTGTTTTTATTTGAACAAGCTAATGATAACGATTAATTTTCTTTTGTCAGCTATTTTCTCTTTTTATCATTTAAGTCAACAGTATCGAGGAAAACTATAATTTAATGGAAATGGAAGATTTTTAGTTTATTATTATTGTTTTGCATGTACAGATGGTAGCGTCTCAGAAGGAGAAATCGAAGTGTCGAATTAGAATTGCTGTCAAGTTTGCTATATTCACTTAGGCGGCGCAAATGACCTTGGAAAATGTATGAATGCATCTCCTCTCTTCCAGCTATGGATTAAATAGTGAAGCAGACTTGGCTCTTTAGCTTTGGTTGGTAACTATTCTAAGAGAAGGGTAACTCTGAATTCAAAAACCGTACGTAGCCTCGGCGAAGAACATACTATACAGCTAATGAATGAATCCGGGAGTTCACATTCATACTGTCATCCCGATTGCGGTTATCCTTCCTTTTCTTTCTTTCTCTCTCTCTTTATTATTGGAAATTATTTTATAAAACAACCCAAGATAAACACATAGAAATAACTAAGCAGCCAATAATTTTAATAACAAGTTTGTTTCCAGAAAATAATGAGTAATCTATTTTAACTGAATCGATATTGTTTCCATTCTAATGTTGCTATTCACTACTTGGAGAAGGAGGAAAAAAACTGTAAGAATGAGTGAAAGTGTTATGAAGTAGAGAAGTCTCTGGAATAGACATTGTCAGGTCTATTCCAGAGAGTTTGTCGCCTGACCGGCATTCGTCGTGGCGTTCTGCTTTTATAGCAGTATCTCATTTACATACGATACTACACCTCCGTGAACCGAAATGGACTTATGCTCTTCGCTGATCTTTGACTTCTAATTATACTTGGGAATCTAAACTTTCTTGATGTGTATCTTGCTTTCTTCTTATATGGGACCACCTAGGTCTGAGTTCATTTTTCTCTTCCTACTCCTCGTCAGATTTCTGGTCATTATCATCCATAGATTGTTCAGTTTCATTACTGGATTCATTAGTGCCTTCCTCCCCATCGTGTTCTTCACCTTCAGGTTCTTCGTCCATTTCTATATCCTCAGGTTCCATTCTGCTTCCAAACTCATCCGCATGGGCCAGTATACTTTGTTCATTTTTCGTTAGTAAGCTGTGTTGTGTCCTTTCTGTACTACAAAGTTCGCCTTCTCTGATTAGATTCTTTGTCTTTTTTGTACCATATACTTCACTTGTTGAAAATGACATTGTTATTGGAGCTCTAATCTGTCTACCAATTAATGCGGAGGGATTTTGTAGTCTGCCGGCATGTGGAATTGTCCTATAGCTTAATAGTAATCTTGGTAATTAACTCTCTATATTATCATTAGATGGGGAAAATGCTTTTAGCCTCATTTTCACAGTCTGCACCGTTCTTTCTGCGATTCCATTCGATTGTGGGTGGTATGATGGTGTCTTATATGGGACGCATCCAATACGCTTAGCTATGAGCACAAACATTCCTCGCAAAGTTCTTGCGCGTTTATCTGAGGCCAATGTTTTAGACACCCCATTCCTTGAAAATATTTGTTCTTAATATTTGTTTTACACTGGGGTACATTTTCTGTCAGCAACCTTAATTACTCCCAACCATCTTGAAAATGAGTTCACTAAAATTAAAAATAGCCCCATGCCTTTAATATGGGCGTTGATCAATGTGTATCCAAGTTCATGGTTCTTTTTCTTTAGGCAGCGAGTGATTATGTTTTGCCGAAAGTTTTTTTTTTTTTTTTTTATTTCAGCACATTTTGGGCATCTTTTTTCATTTCGAGAATATCCTGGTCACCACGCTTGTAATTTTAATCTCATTTGTGTCGCTGTTATATCACAATGTACATCATCGTGTACACCTTTAGTACTTCTTTTCTTAAACTTTGTGGGGATATTATAATATCTCTATTGCATATTATGCCTTTCTCTACAGTTAACTTATGCCTTAATATTGTGTAGGGTCTTTCTGCCATTGAACAATTGCTCCATGTGTTTTTATTTTCATTCTGTTTGAAATTCTACTTAACACCGGATTTTGTATGGTTTCTGTTATGAGATGATTTAGCGGTAAGACGTCCGTTTCAACCCAGTGTAGTATTTTATCTTCTGAATATTCAGACGTTTCTAATTTTTACTGTCGAAATTTAGTCTGGATAGAGCATGTATGTGTGGAATAGTGTACCCCTTTTTATGATGTCAAAATCAAAAGTCATGAGTTTTATAGCCATCTTAAAATTCTAAATGATGTGACTTTTGGTAATTCTTTTTTGGAGTTAAATATAAACTCTAAAGGTCTGTGACCTGACTTTAACAAAAATGTTCGTCCTAACAAAAGATTTCGAGCTCTTTCTGTACTCCATACTATTGTTAACACTTCTTTCTCAATATTTGAGTAGCTTGCTTCAGCTAACGTTAATTTTCTCGACAGGTACATTATTGGATGACCTTCTTGAGATAAAATTGCAGCTACTGCATGTTCACTTGCATCCGTAGTCAATGTCACTTCTTTTTTTTTTTTTTTTGGATCAAAATTTTTTGCATCGGTTTTCTTATTAGTGCCTTTTTTAAATTAGAAAAAAGCTATATATTTTGTCTTTGAGTCCATTTAAATTCTGTATTCTTTTTCCGTAATTCTGCAAATGGTTCTATTACGTCGCTGTATCTAGGTAGATATTTGCTATAAAAAAATTGGTCAATTTCCAAAAAGGATTCTAAAATTTTTTTTTAGATTTTTTTGGTGTAGATATTTTCGATATTTTATTTATCAGTTTATTGTCTGGTGAAATTTTTTCTTTAGATATTTTTTATCCTTTTGAAAAATACGATATTTTTTGTCGCAATTTAATCACATTTATAAGCCTATTTATCGTTCATACCAGCATTTTTAAATTTTTGTCGATTTTATCTGGCTTTGTTCAGTTTTTTTGGCAAAATTATTTCATTCCTTAACTCAAACTTTCCATTTTTATTTTTATATCGTCTTGATATATGATTATATTTTTTTTATCCCCTCCGATAGAACTTTTTTATAATTGCCTTTTGAAAATATGGTTTGAAGTCTTTTTTCCAAATGGAAGACGAGTCCATTTCTTTTAGTAAGCCTATCGCATTATATTAATTGTATGTGATTTCTTTACTTTTTCTGTCAATTTCTATTTGGTTATATGCCGATTTCAGGTCAATCTACAACAAAGAATAATTCAAAATTTTTCTCTAATTTATGACTTTGTTTCTATGTTAGATTAAAGGGAATGAATCAGAGCATATCTGATGATTCACACCTTTTTTGTAATCCCTGCATATCCCCTCAAATCGAAAAATTGGTTCAATTTTCTGTATCTCAACAATTGGTGAAAGTGTTCTTGCTAATACCTTTGTATTTTTTTCCAATATTTTTTTTCTACCATTTTTATTTAGTTTTGTAACTACCATGGTAGAAAATGCTCTTTTCTTTTTCGAGATTCAAATTTAGATAGGTTGGATTGTTTTTTTTTTAGACGAATCGCGAATATTCACTTTATATCCTTTTAATAGTCCTATGCTTCAGGTTTTTCTGATTTTTATACAGTTTATTAATTTAATTGCTGTATCCACTTTTTTAAAACGTCTATTCCCAGGAGTTCCATGATTTTTTTTGCATTCTACAAACAGTGATGGGAATCGTCTTTTCAAAAAAAATTTTTTATCTTGAAATTTCTTTCAAGTTCATTACGGTTTTCAAAGGAGCCTAGAGTTTTTTGATGACAGATCCATCAAATTGTTTTAAATTAAGATTAGTCTTTTTTTCTTAATTTGGTTTGGATATTTTTTTTCCCAAAAATTATTTTGGCCAAAAATAAATCAAGGTAACATCTCCTTCCGGTGTCAACCTGTCTTTGGGAAAAGTTATGCTAAACATTCTAAGTTTTTACTGTCTCATTCAATACTTTTTGCAGGTGTTCTTATCGAATATACTTGGAATGTATTTTCAGATATGAGGGTTTATATTTTCTACCCTTTCTATTATCTTTTTGTATCTGCACACAGAATTGAAATAGGTTAAAGACTTTTTTTTTACAGTTTTAAACATAATTTTCCTATAGACAGGACATTTGTTTTTTTTTTTTTTGTGTTTTTTGTAACAATGAATTTGACAATTAATTATGGATTTTAGTTGTGTTGATTTGAAGAACAAACATTTTTTTTAGAATTATTAAATTCATTAATTAATTCTAATGATAATAAATTAAAACTAAATCTTATTAAATCAATATCAAGTTTATTACTGTGCCAAAAATTTGAGACCATTAACACTGTTATACTAAATTATTTTACTTCAAAGGAGTTTTCTTCAGTTATACTTGTTTTAGACAGTTTTAGAAATAAAATAATTCTAACCTCCCACATCCACAGAAATTTCAGGACTTATAAAATTATTGTTAACAGAACCTTAGACATGTAGCCCAATGTTAGGACTTCATGAAAAATAGGTTTTTACATCCCTTTCAATTTCTCTTTCGAATATTTGGCTCGTATCGTATCAGAATCACCGCATAAGTTAACTATGTAAAGGTAATATAAATTATAGACTGAATTACAGACTCTTTCTTAAATTAGATTCTTATTGAACTAAATATATTTTCTCTTAAACATACAGTTCGTTTCTTGTTGAAATTTTTTTCTGTTCTTTTGGATAAGAAGAATCAAAATCGGGCTGAATTTAGTCTGCTTTTTCAAACTCTGGAAGAAGCTTTCTTTTGTTTTTCCGCTATCTTTTCGGTCTAAGGGATACAGCTGATTTAAATTTTATTATGTCTTCAGGAATTTGACTGGTTTCATGTAGGAAAATTCTCTTGTTATATTTCAACCAGAGGACATTTTCCACAAGAAAATTAAATGAAAAGACAACTTTAATTTTCGCGCTCTTAGTATATATACGCGCATTCCTCATTCTAAAGAGGGAGAGCCAAGGCCAAATCAGAAGAAATTCAATTTCCTTTTTGGGCCTATAGGCAGGAGGAGGAGGAGGAAACTATGTCCGTTTGTTTATTTCTTTTTTCTTTTGTCCTTTGTGTTTTTTCTTTCCAAATATGAAGAAAACAGATGTTATTATTTTTACATCGAAATCGTTTGCAGATTAACTTTTTAATCCTTTTTTCTAAGGATTGAAATCTACTTCATGGTTAAACATTTTGAAATAAATTTACTTGTCACTTTTAAAATTTTACATACTGCAAAAATCTATGTAATAAAACCGATTTGCAAAAGTTGACTTACTTGAATCTCTTTAACAGTCTCAGCACAAATTGAAAGTTGTTGTTGCGCATTTTGTGCCAGTCCAGTTTCTTGATTGTTGACTGAAGAGTTGAAACTGAAGATTCGAAGTTGAATCATACCATTTTGTCGGTTGTAGGTATTAACGTATGCTATTTCCATGTAATATCTGTAAAATTTATACCTCAACATTTAGAATAAAGTGTTCATAAATGATCGAAGACAAGAATAAGATAAAATGTCTGAATAAATATCGTTGGTTAGAACTTCAAAACAAACATTAAATTTACTTGTTTTTTTACATCGTAATTTATTCTAGAAAAAGCAAAGTCTTTTTTTGGTATTTTATGTATAAGAGAAAGAGACACTTGCAAGTACACAACTATATATCTTGTCTGTCGTCATCCAATATAAAATACTTTATGTTCACAAACACAGTGACTTAAAATTGAAATTCCTCCTTATTTTACTTATCATATTATGATCACTAACTTCCTTCTCTTTCAATATTAAGATCAGTTAGTCTAAAAGGGTAATAATTTTGGTCTACATACCTTTTGCTTTTCTTTAAGTAAGCAATATGTCCATTGTTAATCAGTTTCTGAAATAAAAACAGAAAATGGAAATTTTCTTAAATAAATCGTCTTCATAATTTTCTATATGTTATATCAAGTTCTTATATTAAATAATCTCTATATAATCTGGCGGACATATACTCAATAAAATATAAAGGACTGACAATAAATGACTATTGAACTATTTACAACAATGACCATTTTCAGTTGGTATTCAAAGTAATTCAAAGTAAAAAATCAGATGAAAATTCGATATAAAGATATTCAAGTCAACAGTCATCAACTGATAAATGTGCAGTTTTTAAAGATTACACAGAAAACGACAGCAAATAACTAAAAAAGCCTTCAACTACAGAATAACAATTTTTTATAGACAAAAAGAATTGTGTCGCTGTACTTATGATGTATGAGATCGATGATGTGCTATGATGGATAATTGAAGGCATCTCTAGAGCAAGGAGTCGGCGCTCAATTTCAAGTTACAATTAAATGGTTATTATCGGGTTGTTTGATATGCATAACATCAGAAAATGGAACCAGTGTTTTGGCATTAATTTTTTATTCTGACTCTCTCCTGTAATTTTGTACTAAACGTCATGAACAAATGAATAATGCATTAGCGAATGAATCGAAATTATGAGAAGAAAAGCCGGAAATATTCCTGATTGTAGCGAAGTTATTCAACCGCTGCTTGAAGGTGAAATCCTTCCCAAACCTGTGGAAGGTGTCAAGCGTTTGCCCAGCCTTTAAGAACGCAGCCGAGTGATCCTCCCTCACCTAGTGTAGACCCATCAGTCTCATCAGTATAATCAGTAAACTTTCTGAGGCTAAAATCAACAAGAATGTCGTCGAGCACCTAAAAAAGAACAAAATCTTCAGCGACAAGCAGTCCCATTACTCACAGAATTAGACTCTTGACGACAAACACACCTCCAGGAACATAGCATTAGATATCTCAAAGGCCTCTGACAGGCTGTGGCACAAAGGTTTGTTACATAAGCTCTCCAGCTATGGAATCCCTAGAAGGGTCTTCTTGATTATAAAATCCTTCCTTTAGGTAGTTATTAACAACCAGTCCTCCGGGGTCTTTGCCGTCAACGCAGTTGTCCCCCAAGGGACATTCCTCGGACCAACCCTCTTTTTGATTTACATAAATTATCGGCCTAAGAATATACTAAGATTATTTATGCTGATGGTATGACTATATATTGGTGCACCTCTAAAATATTTGATGATCAGAAATTGGTAGCTGATCTCTCATCTGATGTAGCACTAACTTCCCAGTGGGAGACAACTGACTGGTTATATTCAATGCCCCGAAAAGCAAACAAGTTACGTTCCATCATTGCCAATCGGATTCCGAACTACCGCCAGTGACGAATGACGGATGTTCCACGGGGAGGCACCATATGTTGAGAGACTATTGGGTCTTAAAATCGCACCAGGCCTCAAGTGGAACTCGGATATACGATCCATCGTTAAAGATGCAGGTAAAATGGTTGGCTCCTTGTACCGCTTCAGTAAGTACCTGACTCCTTTACAAGAGTCAGATCAGGTCGAAAATGGAGTACTTTTGTCATATTTGGGCAGGAGCTGCTCAGTCTTCACTTTCCAGTCTCGACAGGGTTCAAAAGTTGCTCCGAGTCCTTGTGGGTGATGAATTATTTTCCACCTTCCAATCTCTCTCTCTCTCTCTCTCACACACACACACACACACACACACACACAGGCGAAATGTGGTAAGCCTTTCGTTACTCTATCGCTATTTCCATGCATCCAAGTGCTCGAACGAACTACATTCCTTGGTTCCGCCAGTTTTAACTTTCATGTCAAGGACCACCATGTCATTTATATTGTAGCAGACTACCCACATTCCCTCTGTATTCCATCGGTGAAAATTAAGTTCTACTCGAACAGCTTCTTACCGCGAACCACCGCTCTGTGGAACCGACTCCCAAGAGGATGTTTCCCAGATCAATACAATCTTCACCTGTCCAAGTCTAAGGTTAACCGTTATCTTCCCCTCCTATCCCTATAAACTACCTCTTAACGAGGTAGAGGGTTACGTTAAGAGGTAGTTTATACGGATGAGGGCGGGGGAATAACAGTTAACCTTAGACTTGAACAGGTGAAGATTTCATATTTCATAAAAGGTGAAGATTTTCATATTTCATAAAAATTAGAATAGTTCCACTGTAGGCTCTAGATCTTGGATATATAAATTTAACTCATTAATGGGTATTTCTTACTTGGACTGTTTTCGATGTCAATAATCAGGGATCAAAATCGAAGGTTAGTTCATGAGTCATGGACATTGATTTCCCTTTCTTGTTTTGCCCATGTAGCAGACAGAAAAAATCTTCACAATAGAATTAACTATGGTTTAACGTGACTTCAGCAAAACGTCAGTACTGAGAAACCAAAATGTTAATGAGGAGCCGCTATAGGTCTACTACGAAAAATACACCTTGAAATATTCGAAAATTTCTTACCATATTTGATTCACTTTCATTGTTACTCAATCGTATTTGCTTGTAGCCGGTGGAGGACGAAGAGAAGCTATGTAAGCCTTCGTACATTGGTTGGAAGAAGGCCCGAAGCCGTGCACCAAATTCTCCAGACGCATATAATTCACCTTTGTCTATCCAACTCTTATTGTATGTTGGAGAAGTACTGTTTAGAGCGAAGAGATTATTGATATCGTTACCGACATTTTTTGTCCAAGACTCCATCCGAATCCCACGATTTCCTGTTAAAAAAATTGAATCCCCATTTCAAAACATTACATAAATAAATTTTAGGTATTTTCAAATGACGTATTTTTCAAATGATGTTTTAGGCAACTTATCGACAACTGACCTGCATGCAGATTTGGTAAAATTGCCGGTTTAGGTGCAACTCTGCATATTATAATATCATTAGTCACTGGCTTCACGATTTTGCACGATGTGTCTATAAGAAAAAACAAAGAAAGTAATAGCAGCAGGAATTATAATAACTATTAATAATTGAAAAAAGATTTATTCTTTCATTCCGACCAAAACGTGTTGTCAATAGAAAAAGTTTTCCACTTTGTTTTATTTTTCCACTTTTGTTCGGATTCTATATCGTATTAATAATTAGTAAATTAAAACAAGAATAACATATTCTATATATAAAACCAGAAGAAACAGCTTTGTTCCAATTTAAAACTCGAAGCAAAATGTTTTCATATTGAAAGAAAACCAAGTTCATGTTCATTAACTTGACAGGTTCAAATAAGTTGGTTTCCACTTGGCGTTCAACCAATGTAACTTTCTGCAAGATTTCATAAAATGAAAGTAAATCAAACCGATTCCGGTAAAATGATATACAAAATATATTAAGATACAAGATATATATTAAATAAGGTCAAATCAAGATATATATTAAACAAGGTCAAATCAACATATATATTAAATAAGGTCAAATCAAGATATATATTAAATAAAATCGAAAATTGTTGATTTTACCAAACACATACATACATACGCGTAAACACACGTACATGGAAACACTCTCCTTTTCCATATGCTTTTGATATATACATGTATGCAGGCTCGCATTAGCGCACACACGCACACACACACACACAACAACATAGTTTAACTTTACTTACACAGTAAGTTTTTAGAATATTTTAGAGCGTTTTCTAATTGAAAATTTGAAAACAATATTTTCTCCCCACGTTCCTTCTGTGTATAAATATAGGTTACTAAGTAACATTTCCAGACTTGCCTTGATAAAGTTTCCCAATGAACGAAATGTGTTGGCATAAAGTTTTCCTCTTTTCTTTATATTCACATACATAAACCTACACATATGCAAACATGCTAGCATATATATATATATATATATATATATATATGCAAACTCACACACACATACATACACACATAAATGCACGCACACATGTATAGATACATCCATACAACAATTCAGAAATGCGTATATGCTGCACTAAAAACAAAGTGGGCAAATATTTACGCGCGCGCACAGACACACACACGCATTCAACGAGCAGTATAAATATTCAAATCGAGCAGATCTCTACGCCCTGAAGAAAGGAGCAGAAAAAGTAATGACTATAATTTTCTAGAAAAAGACCTGCTTTAATGAATACTCGAATGAAAAAGGAAAATAACTCAAATCGTTGCATAGCCATACATAATTTTATACTTTATAGCAGGTTCTACATTAAGACATAAAAGGACTTATAAGTAGAGAAGTTTCAATATTTTCGACTTAAAAAAATAATATACAATAAAAAGTAGAAAGATCAATAATAACTAGAAAATATTGACAAGTGGAATAATGAAAACCGGGAACATTCAGTAAGTAAGAATAAAAGTAAAAACTGAAGAAAAACAACTATACGCAGAAAATAGGAGACAATTTTAAAAAAAGTATACAAAATATAAATGTATTAAACAAATAATAGCCACCATAGAAGAAAACAGTTATTGTCAACCATATAGAAAGATAGACAAATTGGTCATAGGCATTTGAAGTTAGCTCAAAAACCGGATCCAAAGAAGATAATAAGATGAACAATCAAGCGGGTAAAGTCTTGAACTAAGAATTGTGCAAAATTATATTTTATTCCACCATTCAAACATGTCATAAGTTGTTCTTGGGAAGAGAAAAAATAAATGTGCTTTGAAATCTCAACACGGAAACAAAACCTGGTCCATGCAGACATGAAAATAAACATCTGTTCAGTTATTTGTGTATTTATTCAAAAAAGTTATCTGAAAGTGAGTGAAAAAATAGATTACTAACAGGCGTTTGCATAGACTGTAAAACATACAGGGGATAGTAGTGCACGTAATAGTAGGAACACTGGGGACGGTTCTGAAGGCTTTACAGGACACTAGAATGATTACAGATTAATGGAACATTTTCATGGATAGAAACTTTAGCAATATTAAAATTAGCAGGAATACTGCAAAGAGCGTTCATGATATAAATATCTGTATCTTAAACTCCAGTAATAACCACCAAATACCTTTAAAAATTATTATTAACAATGAACATCTTTTTATTCAGTTAATATTTTAGAATGTGATAATACCAAATATTTAAAACACTACCTCCAATGAAAACTCGGGCTTTTGCTGTGGTTTCATCGAAGTTCCTACCCTTGATAGTCAGCAGCGTTCCTCCCATAAGGCTGCCTTCTTTGGGATAAACGGATAAAACTTCTGCAGATATATAAAAGAAATTAAACAAAAATTAAAATGCAAGAAGATGGAATGATATGAGAATTGATGATAGACAAAAGTAAAAGTGATTCAATATTTTTATTGAATAAAATAAAAATAATAATAGGTATCATCAATGATACCTACCATTGTGGAGGCCAAATCCCTTTCATTTGTTTCACTGTACTACGCAGATATTCTTTTAGTTGAGAGATTTGCGTGCGCCATAAAACGGTATTAGTAAGATTCCCTTAATTAAAGCGGCCTTAAACATTTTGTAAATATTTTGGTAGACGTATATTTTACATTTGTCTATATTTCTGAGCTGAGGTATTATGATTATTTACATTATTTACATTATTCGGACTGTTATCCTCATCTTCAATGCCATATTCACAACGTTTCGGCTGTTATACGCTTCGGGTTTCTTCAGGTGATTGGAAATTCAAACCAAAATTTTTATTTCGTGCAATAGGGTAAATTGTTCTAGTTCCACGTGACATGCCTCTTCTCAGTTATTTCCCTTTAACTCAACTCTCTAATTTTTTGATTCACCACTGCTGTAACCCGGTATATGTTGTATATTTTATATACGACATTAAGGCGTCGAGACTCATTGATAAGCGCGATGGCATAACACTCGAATGAGTACAGATTTGTTTTAACGATAAGTATTTTTGCTTTTACTTTAAAGAAATTCGATAAAGTTAAACAAATAAATCTGCTATTAAATAAATCAAATCGTGTGTAGTATTATTTTTTATAAACAAAACGTAAAATAATCAGAAATTAAACTTAAATTTTAGGTTAAAATTTTTTAATTTTTATAAAATATACTATTAAAAAATGTTAATATAAAAAGAGTAGCACTCTTTTCAGTTGATGCACTTTCTAAAGCCTGAACAAATAATCAAACAACAGATTATTTTTAGACGGATATCTTGATCGGACTGAGAACACTTCATCCATTATTCCAATTTAGTAACAAGTCATCAATTCCCTTCCTAAGAAGGCAAAACAAACCTTTTCAAGAAGAGAACACGGAGATATTTCAGCCGATTTCCATGAAGACAAAGTTCTTTACCATTGTACAAAGTGGGGATAATAAAAAAATATAATAACCATTCGAATGATATCCATAATAACGAAAGTAAAAAGAAATCGCTAGTCTATGGGCATAGGGGCTGTACAAAATGAATTTGAATAATTATATCTAAGAAATTATAGACAGATAATGTAAAACACTAACGTAACCATAAGAGAATATCCGTTCTATATATTAAATTTCTGGCTATTTTCATCACATTTATTAGTTTTAAGAAGGTTTCAGCCGAAACATATCTCGATCTTTCTTGTATGTTTATAATTTTTTTATTAGTTAGTTGTATAAAATAATTAAAAATATTAATTAATTAAAAAGTGTAAGTAAATAAATATTAGATAGTCTGGGTTAGTTTTATACATTTCTCGTAACTTTGTGAGAAGTGTATTAAAAGAAAGCCCGGGGTGGGGGGTGAAAAATTGTTTCATTTGTATGTAAAATTATTTTTTTATTTAGAATTGGCTCCAAAAAGGACCGCCAGAAATAACTGTCATTGTGATACTTTGGGGGATACATTTTTTTTTCAAATTTAGAAAAATATATTTGCCTTGTATTTTTGTCAAATGAAAAGGGTAGCTTACGTCCTCGTAAATTTTGAGTTGATGTCCCTTTTATGTCTCGTTTGAGAGTATATAACGCAAATAACATCAATAGAGCGTGAGACATAACATTCGAAGGAAGCAGCAGAATGTATTTAGAAGTCAGTGAAGGAGGTCGGCTGGCTGCAGTGAGATAGAGAAACGGACGAGGCCGACTGGCTACGACAGAAAGAAGTTAGACGTCACATGCGACGGAAATGGCTAGCTGCTGGGAGGCAGAGTAGGAAATTAGACCTTACACGCGAAGGAGGCCGGTTGGCAGGTTGGCGGCGTTCACATATGAAAATCGCCAAGAAAGCAAAGGACAGAAAGTTTTCGGCATGTTCAAAAACTACACCGACAAAAAAGAAGAAAAACGAAGAGAACCTTCCCAGAGACTCTCGTGGGATATGCAAAAGCCAAAGAAACACGTGGAACCCAAGCATAAAAAAACGAACATTTCGCAATATCGTAAAACTTCCCAGAGACTCACGTGGAATAAGAAGTTTCTTTTCATTTGTCATCAGGTGAGTGCACCCTTTTCTAAGAATAGTCTCTTCCTTTTTTCAACAGTACTCGTATCACCTCAAGATTTTTTCTTTCATGAACCGAAAAATTGTCTCGTATCTCTTTTTTTAGAGCCAATAATTTCTATAATTTTGTTATGCCTTGTTCGCAATAAGACGCGCAAAAGGAGATTTGTGTGCATTGCTTTTTGTAAAAATTACATTTTGCTATATTGTTTTATGTTTATATAATAAATGTGTGTACCTTTTAAATTTCGCGTAATAGTTTCGAGACTTGTTTTTCAATGTATGCGCCTTTTTTTTTAATATTCGGGATGAGAGATGTAATATTCTCTCTTCTCTTATTCCCTCCTAAGAAAAAATATTTTATGTTGTAGTCAGTTTTTAGTTACGCTATCACCATCATAGAGTAAATGAACTAAAAAAAATATTTAAGTCATAGCATTAAACTGAAACCAGAAATATGAAGACACGAGGCCAAAAATGATTTCTAACATCTGTCTTCTTTTGCCCACTATCATTTGCTAGAGTTTCACTAAAATCGATGCAGACATGGCCACAATAAATGAATCACATATATTCAATAGGGATATGTTTATACAGATGATTATGCTGCATTAACAATCTAAATCGATCAGAAGATTCTGAGATATCGATCATATTTTTCTAAAGTCTATGGGACTAAACTCACATTTTGTTTCAAAATATCTTTTCTGTCAGAGAAGTGTGAGTTATAAGATAAATAATGAGAATGGGTATAATGTGAATATATTAACTTACTAGGCTTATGTAAAAGTTCACATAACAATCTTTTTCACAATGTTAGTGAAATATTGGTGTTTTTGAAGCCTACTCACCTTATTATTGCTTGTTGAATCGGCCAATTTACAAGACTTAGTTAAAAGAAGCTCGGAAGATATGTTCCACTTGAACTTATGGAAACGAACATTGGCTAGTATTTAAAAAAACTTTTTTCTTTTGCTTGACAGAGAAAAGGTAATTTTTGACCAAATTTGGTCACTGATGACGACAGAAAAAAAGTAATTTTTGACGATAAAAAATGAATTTGTTGCGAGAATCCCAAATTAATTGTTGCGAGAATCCCAAATTAATTGTTGCGAGAATCCCAAATTAATTGTTGCGAGAATCCCAAATTAATTGTTGCGAGAATCCCAAATTAATACTCTGGCGATAGAGAAATGTAAATGGAATCTGATTTGAAAAAAGTTCTCTGTATTTGACATTCTTTATTTATTACGAATTGTCAGTTCCTAAACTGGGCAATGCTATCGTGAGCAATTCACTGTTTTCAGTAACTCACTATGACGGAAAAAAATTTTACGAGTCAGAAGATTTTACTGAATGGCAATGCCTGTCCACATGTCCAAAATGGCACAGAAACGATAGTGTAACTGCGATGGAAAGTTCTTCCACATTCAACATATTCGCCAGGCCACATATGCGAAATGTCACTCGTTTTGTTCCATGTAACTTTCCTCATTTGGTCGACATTTCAACAAGTACAAGATATTGAAAATTAATCGAAGACTTCATTTAAGGAAAAGCCGGAATCGTTCTTTTATGTTGGAATGTACAATTGACATGAAAGATAGTGTAAAATCATAGGAAATGTTTCGGTAAATAATGAAGTTATGCATTTGAATGAGTAAAGGTTTTTACAAAAATTACTTGAAACGTTTGAATTAACCTAATATTTCGCGTATTTCCATTTCTACATTCTTGCATATTCTTTGCATATTTCATAGAATTAGGGCCAAACATATTCTTCTAGTTTTAAATTGAGCTTGAATGGTGATTGATCATACCGTCTCACCTTGAGGAAATGTGTTAATTTCAGTCAAGTATGTCTATCTGTCTCAGATATGTTTGCATATCTGAATGAGCAAGAACACACGCGTATAACGCACCATTTATATGAATAGTCACACAAACCTTTTATTTCATATTTCCATCTTACTCTACCCACATAACTTAGCAGTTCTGCAAGAAGTAAAACATTTTATTTGCAGTGTATTTTCTTAGCATTCTTACCTGCATAAGTCTGGAATAAATATATTTTGCCACCAGAACTGACCTTCAACAAATCGGCTTTAGGCAAGGACCTGAAAAAATCAATAAATAAAAATAGTTACTTCTATTTACTTATCAGCTTTGTAAATAATTTGGAAAATTAGTGGTAGTAGAAGACTCTGTTTAGTATCAGTGAAAGGTCCAATTTGGTATTAGTGGAATGCCCTGTTTAGTATCAGAAGACCCTGTTTAATATCAATGGATGACCCTGTTTAGTATCAGTGGAAGGCCCTGTTTATTATCAGTAGAAGGACCTGTTTAATACCTCTGAAAGACCTGTTTACTATCAGTGGAATGCACTGTGTAGTATCGAGCTTTAGTTTCAACATGCCAGTGTGACTGCTGTGGTTTCCATATCAAATAGTCTTTTATGAGGTGGAGATGCTAACCCTTTGTCTAACTCGTTTTGAAGTCAAAAATATCTTTCTCCTAGAATGATTGCCAACCAAGGTTACGGAGCACAGTTTGCCCTGACATTTAGCGCATAGATGATGGGGGTGATTACGAAATGGATTTATACATTTCCAAGGATTATTTATGCGAAATTGAACGCAACGACCCGGTTCGAAATTTGCCGCAATAACCGTTACGCTACGTGCATATCCATCTCTCTATTATTTAATATTTTGCTAAAGTAAAACTTAAAAGTACATTAATGGACAATATTCCTCTCCATTTTTCTTTTACTTAAATCTTGATATATATATATATATATATATATATATATATATATATATATGAACGTGAATTAGATAATATAAAATGGCACCGATATTCAGAGTACTTAATATGATTACTTGGTTAATTATTTTAGTACATCGTTTTACTTAAAATTATTGACATGTGACACAAACAATATTCAGTCCATTACTGAAACAAATTAGCCATAAATAATCAAGAGTACCTTTTTAGATCCATCGGTCACTTATATTACTGCCAAATAAACTGTTTTTACATTTACGGAAGTAGCGAAATAATCGTAATTTATTGCAATACAAAGATTATTGAAGAACAATGAATAAAATTACAATAATTTCCATGGGAAAATGTTTAAGTGGTTATGCAATAGAATAACCACACATCTCAGAACCTTTTGTTAAGACTGAAATAGAGTTGAATAAATCTGCTGGAAGGAAACAATTGATATTTTGCGAAGAGGACAAACTTAGAGAGATCAACACCTTGTCAAGTTTAACAAAAGCAAGAGAAATTAAAAAAATAAAAATACTAAATAATGAAAACATCTCCTACTAAACGTTGTGAATTAGAATCTCTTTCTTTCTATTAAATAGTGAAGGAACGAGTCATCATATTATTTTAAAATCTATTCAACTTGTGAGAAAATGAACAGATAATTATCCGAAACAAGAATTTCTACACGAAAGTCAATTTGTTGTCCCATGAGGTGGCGCTTATTTCTGCATATGGTATACTTAGATATGTAAATGCTTTAAATGTGGAGGAATAATGGATACGGGCTCGGATTGAAGAATCGGAGAGCCGAGTTCGAATTCCAGTTAGATACATACATTCGCTTACGTGCTAAGCTAATACCCTTGAGAAAGGTATGAACCCTCTTCTTCTCTCTCCCAGCTATGTGTAAATAGCAGCGTAAATTGGGTTCATTTTGTCTTGGGTGTAAACCTGAATTCAAAAGCCGGTCTCCGTCAAGCTATCTTGCCCAAGAAACACCACTTCTACTGTCCCTACGACCCTGAGGAATCACGGGATGCGCGATATATATATATATATATATATATATATGTGTGTGTGTGTGTGTGTGTGTGTGTGTATATCAGATTGCAAACCAACATGGACTATTTCCCGTCATTTATAGCAAGTTTATTTAGTCTTTCTCACTTACTAGCTGGTGACCACAAAATTAGGTTATTCCTGTTTTAGTTTTCTTCTACTTTTTACCGAATGATGCCAGGCTTATCCCAGGTTTATTAGTTGCAACTTCTTGGTCATTCCTATAAAAATTAACTGTCCTCTAGCAGATTCAACACTCGCTATGATAGCATTGAAAATGAGGCTAACATGATAAAAATTTTCTACTGATACAAATACGCAACAAAAATATTTCACTGTTATTCAGTCCCATTAAAACCGTTTCTTTGATAATTCTTTGTTAAATAGTAAATAGTAAATAACGTAAATACTTACCTCCCGAAACGTCCACTAATTAGGAAACTTACATTAAAACTTCCTATAAATTAAAAAATAATTTACAGAATTAATTTTGTAATTCACAATAAAACTAAAAGATTTTATATCATTTAAATATAATTATATTAATATATTTGATTAGTTTTCGATTACACACTTTAATTACACTTTCAGCTAAACAAAGTTTCGTTGATTCAAGAAACAATATGAATATTTTTTCTTTTTCGTTAAAATGGAAATATAAGAATAATAAGCGTGTCTGTTAATTAATGTCTACTTATGTTACAAACTGCAAGTTAAATGTAAACCTATGACGTCTCTTCATAGACTTCAGAATACAAGGGGCCGGCGCTATTTTTGGGGCACTTTGAAAAGTGTGCTTGAAGGTTTTTTTTTTTGCTGCCGAGAGCTTTTGTGTTGATGAGTAGGTAGTTCAGCAGTAACTGTCCATTAATGGTATGAACATTGATTGATGGGTTTGTCTTTGGTTTCATGTTTTCTTTATTTTTACTTCAACTTTGGCGACACTATTTTTCGGACATGACACAAATTCCGGGTTTTTTAATGATTTAGTCGTCGAACGTCTACAATATGCAAATTTTCTGCAGGTAAATTATACCCTGACCATTACATTTGAGTATCTTTACCGTTCACTGCGAAAGCGTATTAAAATCCTGAAGAAGAATGCATTTAAAAGAAGTCATCAGTTTGGTCCAAAAGAAGAGAGAAGACGGGCTCAGCATCCGAAAGATCTCCGCTGACATGAAGCTACCGAAGTCAACAGTTGAATACATGCTAAGTACAGACTATGAGCTGAAGAAGAAGAAGAGAGGGCGAAAAAAAAAAAAATTTCCAAGAGAACAGAAAGAAGAATGAAAAGGAGTGTTACGAGGTTGTTATCATCTGGAGAAAAGGTGACATCGAAAAAAGTAAAGGAGAAGTGTGAACTTGACGTCAGTGTTCGAACTGTACAAAGAAAGCTACATGAAATTGGATTTAAGTATGCTAAAATCAAGAAAAGAATTATACTAACGAGAAAGCACAAGGAGGCAAGGCTGGAAAGCGCCAAAAGATGGATAACAAACCATGTCGGCTTCAAGAAAGTGATATTTACTGATGAAAAACGTTTTAAGTTCGATGGACCTGACGGGTGGTGTACATGGTCGAGAAAAGGTGAACCTGTTATTCTCAACAAGAGACAGATGGGAGAGTCATGGCTTGGGGTATGGTATTTCCGAATAGAAACTTGTGGCTTGAGTGGTTAAAAGGACGTCAAAGTAGCTTGAGCTACAGAGAACTTTTGGAAAAGAGAAATGGGAAGTAATTTTAAAGAAAATGGGAAGTAAATTTATTTTGCAGCAAGAAATGGGAAGTAATTTTATTTTGCAGCAAGATAACTGCAGCATCCATGTGGCCAAATCAGTGAAAAATTGGATGTGTGAAGCAAATATAACTACTCTGGAATGGCCTGCTAGAAGTCCAGACTTAAATTTTATTGAAAACATATGGGAAATGCTTGCAGAGCTTGTTTACGACGGACCAGTAATAACCAGAGAGGCTGAACTGTGGCAGCGCATACAAGATGCTAAAAATAGACTGCTAGAAACACGAAGAGACGTTATTATCAATATGTACGAACATTATGAAGATAGACTGATAGAAGTCATTGAAAAAAAGGTGCTGCCATAAACTATTAGCATTGTTTCTGCAATGTCCGAAAAATATTGTCGCCTGTGTAATGTGAAAATTTGTAAAAAAATAAAAATACTTCTAATTTGAATTCTGCTTTTCCATTTGTATTGAAACAGTTTTTAAATGTTATTGCCATTACACTAAAACAGTACAGATTGCCTGTGCTACCTAAAACTTGAAGAAATAAAGTGTCTTAAAAATAGTGTCGACCCCTTGTAGAAAATGATTCGTTTCTTTTTTATTCCGATAAAAAAAGGAAAACAATTCTATTATGAATAACATATAGATATGAGTTAAATATTTATTAAAAGATTCGACAAAGAATCTGAACTACTTACCTATAAATCTTCCTTGAAGTTTACAATTCATGTATCCCCAATTGTAGTTGGTCATACCTATACCATAGCTATCAAAAGATTTTAAAACATATATATATATATATATATATATATATATATATATATTTAGTTTGTTATATATTTATATTTGGTTTATATATATATATATATATATATATATATATATATTTCATTAAAAGTGTAAACGTCATATTTTAAAACTTCAAATAATCGATGTCGTTGAAAATTTAGATAATCTGTAAAAATGTAAAATATTTTAATAGTTTTTTTCCAATAATGAATAAAGAACAGAGTTCGGTATAATTTGAACAAATTCGTCTGTATCGGTTCCTGCTACCATATTGTTTGAAGATTCGTTCAATTACTATTTGTTGTAAAGAAAAAAAAACTGAAATGTGAAAGCTCAAATATGGAATGAATATTTGACATTGCCTTATCTGCATCATTCGTTTTATTCTGATCTCCAACAGTTTTTCTCGCCTTTTTCCGGTCTTCGTGATCCCAACAACATGGTATCAACCGCTACGATCCTCTGTTAGCTGTTCCTAGCTACCAGAGTCGATTCCAGTGCGTTTCAGTCTCTTTTTGGTCAGCTCACTGTACATGATGTCTTTTGGTATACAGTAGTCGTTCATTTAAAGTTTTAATAATCAACACATATAAATACAATTAAATATAATAGTCAAAATTATATATAATAAAATATACATTATAAATGAAATAAAAGAAATAATAATTGTGAATTATGTTATTAACTTTAAGCAATATTTATGTTGTCTTTTTTAAGTTAAACTATATATATATATATATATATATACATATATAGTAATAAACAAAATTAAATGATCACTTATCGTCATTGCCCTGAGGTTCGCAGAGATTATATCTACCCGTGAATCTATGCTAAACCTTAATTTTCAGAAATCATATTTTTCTTGAAAGACATTAAGTTTCCTTAAAAGATGTTAATGTTTAACGTAAACGTATTTGAAATTGCTCGCTTATATGCAGTAGATATATTTTATATATGTATATATAATCAGAAGTTTGATACTAATGCGATTTTTTATTTGAATTACGAGATGTGTAGCCAAGTATTTTTGTTTTTGATAAGTATGTGTGTAAATTTTTTTCTAAATAAATTATTACTCCAGGTAAAGGTTCTAACTCTACTATAGTTTGTTAGATATATATTTAACTTCTCTAAATATTTGTTAAATATATCGGTAATATTATCGTAATAAAGCTGGTGTGATGTAAATTTATATTATTGGATAACTAAGTAATTAAATTGATAAAATAAATATATTCTTCTATTTTATTTAATTTTATAAAAAATGAGAAAGAAAATTAGTAATCATTTTCGGCGGGATAGAACCGACGAAGGATGGACTAGGGAGTATTGAAAACATTTCGGACCGACAAAGAAGCAATTCCAAAATATATATGATGTTTTAGTTATTTGGTTAGATTTTGAGAAGTGGATTGAGCCAAGCATTTTTCAGCACCCCTTCATAGTATTCATACGTATAAATAAATATATGCATACAAGATGACAAAATAACTTACAATTTATCATTTTCAAGGTCTTTTAATTCACAAGTATTTCCGCCGCCGTAGATTCTACAAGAAATTGATAATAGACAGTAATGTATAGGAAACAAGTTGAATAATTCGAATCGAATCACTATTTGATTGTTGAATAAGCAGTCAGAAGGTCAATTGAGAAAAAATCAGAAGTTTAATATAGAATTGATTACAATTTGAGTGCATAGCCATTATGTTATAGTTATCAAAAAGGAAAAAAAAAAAGGAATTGTAAACTGAAGAATGACTCCAAAAATAGTCGAAACAGAAGCAGATTTAACAGATGTGTTACGAGATTCATAAGCTGACATTGTGTCTGGTATTATCCTTGTTATGAATTGCTTTTTGAAAAATATTATCTCAGTAGAATTCCACTATATAAAACCGAGCATTTTCCGTTGACATGAAGAGGAAAGATTACATTGAATCAATTGCTAGGTTTGCTTTTAGGAAAGTTGGTTCATTGTGTTGTGCTAGACATTTTTTTTCTCGTCAGAATCTATTTTACACATTTAAAAGTTCATTATTTGTCCATGCATTGAATATTACTGTTACATCTGAGCGGGTGCTTCTGCTATGTATTTAGAGTTTCTTGTCCTGATCTAGCATTTCGGCTTCAATTATTTTCTCATCCCTGTATCAGAGCTTCCCCGTGCCTTGTTTTTTTAAATACTTTCATGGTAATTGTTCGGATGTACTCTCCTATTTAGTACCTAGACTTTATGAATTTAAGAACAAGTACTAGATTGGCAGCAAGGTTTCATGATTTTACAGTTGAAATGACTAGATGTAACCGTAAGTTCTACGCTTTCAGTTTCTTCTATCCTACTCCTCGACTGTGGCACACACTTCTGGCTTCTTACTTTCCAGTCAAATCCGATCTTCAAAAATTTAAATACACTGTCAATCGTTATCTTCAGTCAGCTTAATTCCTGTTCTTTTATTATTCTCTGTCCTTAATGTTTAATTTTTCTCATGTTATCTCACACTTAGTAACTTCTTGTGGCTTAGTGGCTTTATTGCCTTGCTTGAAGTGAAATGATTAAAAAAATCTTGAGAAACAATCGTAATATATTGTCTAAGGATCCTCATGCACAAAGCATTAGGATTCTTATTACTGACCTCAGAATTGATTCTGATCTTCCGTTCGAAGTCGAGCCTAAATTGCTTCCAAAGCGTGATGTGAAAATACGGCCAACTATTTTTACCATTGATCCTAAAATTTTGAAGAAATAAAAGCAAAATAATTTCAATTTTGTCATTAAATCAATTTAAGTTGACGTTACATTATCTAAAAATATCTAAATATGCTGATCTCCATCAACCACACAGTAATACATTATTTTTATGAATTTCTTTTATTTCTGAACAAAATTAATTGGTAAAAGATCATAGCTTAACATGTATAATCTTTTGCCAGCCAATTTTCTTCATAATTATTTTAACGACCTCAGCTTACAAAATTTTCATACATTTTTATTTTTCGCCTTTTGATCATATTGTAATACATCTCTTGAAAAAAAGGATATATATTGACTATATATATCTCAAATATAATAGACTTTGAAAGATACGTAGATAATTAATACTACGAATGGTTTTACAATCTTTATGTCGACATCAAGTAAATAATGTGGCCTAATTAGTTAATTAGAAAAGAACACGATACAATAAAAGATAATTATCAAGATGTAATTATTATATTTTTATACTAATGTTTACCTAATACAAGGCCCAAGAGCCATTCAATGTAGAGGGCTATTGTGTTGGGTTGTATAAGCGTAAAGGAAGGCAAGTGAAGTTCATGAAATTATGCAGCAAAAATAACGATAACTCTAAACTTGGAAAGGTGAAGAATGAACATTCTTCACCTTTCCAAGTTTAGAGTTATCGTTCAAGATAAGGAGCCTCCTTGAGATTAGACTCATCCATCATGGTAGGCTAGAGTACAGGGTATACTTGGTGGTGATAGAATGTTACTAGCTTGTTTTGTCTGTATTGAATTTTACAAGCCGTCCTTATCCCATTGAGCCACCTGTGTTAAGTCAAAAGGGAGATGAGCTGCTAGGTTCTGGTCTTCCAGATTTTTGGAAGTACACCTATAAAGTGTGCATCATCCACATAGATACTCACTAAAGATTGGAGTATGTTCTTAGGCAAATCCTTAATATACAGTAAAAAGAGGGTAGAAACGAGGAGAAAACCATGAGGAAAGCTGGCATTGATCTTCCGATGATTAATCGTTTACAACGACGTACCTGTTAGGAAGGACTTAACAATTGAGTGACCCATCCCTGTTATTCCAGAGCTGGAGATTTTATATAATAGCCCCTGATGCCAGACCTTGTCAAGTGCCTTTCGTATATGGTTCGTGTGATGAATTTATTGTCTAGTACCTGGCCGATTTTGCGAGTAATGACAGGATATCAGCTGAGAATCTTGCACAGTGAAATACACACTTGTTATCGTTCAAGTTGTTGTGTCTATTAAGGTGTTCAACAACCTTTTTTGATTATAGATTCGAAGAGTTTACTGATGACACTAAGGAGGCTAATAGATCGATATTGTAACAGGCATGAATGCTCAACAGCATTCTTAAAAACAGGGAACACAGTTGACTCTTATAGACATGGGAATCATTTCTCTTTCAGTTATCGGTTGATCAGTTTTGCCAGAATTGAAGATTATTCTGGGCTGATATTCTATATAAGAACCAGGGTGGCCTTCTTAACGTTAATACCTTTGACTGAAAAATTCCTGCGCCGTGATACAATGATTGTGCTCCGTGGGCGGAGGAGTCAGATAAAAATAATTTTATCGTCTAACATAGAGTTTGTGGCAAAGCGCCTTACCTTGTCATATGAGGATGTAATAACTTCAGGGCCATTTATGATATCTGGCACAGACGCTTTGCCTCTATTGAGAATTTTATTCGAGATTTTTCAGAACTCACAGGAACAAAGTCTTTTGTTTTCAACATTGGCTTTGACTGACTGTGCATGGTTACTCTTTCCGTTTTCTAGAACTCTCTTGCAATGACTTTGGGCAGTTCGGAATGCCACGAAAGTCATGTTACACCATTCTCATCTTGTAGGGATGGTAGCAGTGATTACGGTGGGCTATGTCTGCAGCATATTTTGGCGTGAACCAGGGATGGCTATTTGGTTTCTAGTGGTATTTTTTCTTTTGGGTAAAACTGTCCATATCTGAGGATCCACTCAGTGAATTAGGGTGGCAATTTTGGAAGCCCAATTGAAGAAAGATGAGAGGGTGCTTTTGCAGTGTACGATATAAAGCTGTCCCAGTCAGCTTTGGCGTACCGAAAGATCACCCTATAAAATCGTACATTAGAAGATGCCTTCTGTTTGGTATCAATTTTAATATTGATCAGCAAGTTGTTAGAAGATCTTATTGGAGGCTGCATTTCAGCGGAGCATTATTCGGGGCAAGATGTGAGAAAGAGATTTGCGTGATGTTCCGTTGTTTCAGGAACACGATTAGGTTTATCAACTATCTGTCAGATCACTAGCGATAAAGAAGAAATAGTATCTGCTTTATCCAATGATTCAGTGAAATAACCACTCCTTGTGGTGAATATTATTAAAGTCACCATAAATATGAATGCAAGCTGAAGGATCCGAGCAGATATCATCATTTTTTTTTCAACCATTTTTGTCAAACATAACAATTCCATCATCCTGTGGACAATAAAAATTAAAGAGATGTGGACGAGAGCTACGCGAAAGCACATGAATGGGAAATTTTGAGTCCTCGTTTTGAGGATCTCAACCACATGGAAATCCATCCTTAACATAAGTACCGTGTCCATGGCCATGGCAGTTTCGGGAGTCATGTTTTACTATTATGGGCGAGTAGTACGAGGTAGTGAAATCCCGAACTGGTATAGATAGGTTAAAACCAGTTTCCGAAAGGAACATAAAGTCTAGTTTGACCTCATGAAGTTAGTGTTCAACTGGAAAATTGGATCGTATACCCCTCATATTTGTGTAAGAGATGCCGAACTTGGGATCTACTCTTGTTTTTATATGCTAAGAGTTGCACTTTATGGTCAAGTCGTTGTAAAGAATGTTATAGAAGTATTTCTATTTTTGCTATTTCCGCTTAAAATTTCACGAAAACAATATTATACTTTCCACTATTCGGACCAATATGTTCATCTTATTTGTCACACTCACAACTCGGTAATCTTCTTGAAATTTCGGATTGAACCATTTATTCAATCTACGGAGTAGATTGAATAAAGGGTTCTCATTCCTCTTTCCATGTTATGGGGATAACTCATGTCAGTTAATATTCACCAGTCTTATTAAATTTTGTGTAACTTGTCTTTTTCTTCGATTGAATCCATTAATATGTGAATTTTCAGCACTTCAAGAATCATGGACTGGACTGATGACTACCAGGAGATTAGATATGTCTTAATTTTTTAGTTCACAAGAGTACATCTGCTCTTAGATATTGAGTACTCTGGGGGAGGGGAAGAGCATTGAGATGTTTCATATGTTCAAATTCACACTAGTCCCCACCTCAGACACTGAATGGAAATCCTTGACAAATACTATATTTCATTTTGTTGTTGTATAATTTGTATTTTACCTGGGGGTCCAGAAATTGTTTTTAGTTCGTTAAGGAGGGGAGTATAATGGTTCCAGACCTGAAAAAGTTAAATTGAAAAATTCAAAACATCGTTGGTAAATACGAACAATACATTTGCTTAAAATCAAATCAGTTGAAAAAAGTAATTATATTTGAAGCATTTTTTAATAACTGCAAAGCTGTAACATTAACATTGCCACAAATATAATTAGCAATGCTTTTTTTTCTTAATTTCTTACTAGTCATAGTAAAAGAACCTTGTCGGATAATGTATAATAATTTTACACAGTGGAAATTTTATTTTATGTCATCATTGCAAAATCATTTTCAACATTCTTGTTAAGATTAATCGAAACAATAGTAATAATTCCGCTGTTCCTTTTATATAATTTGGGAATGACGAAGTCGCGAGAGTAAGTCAAGAACAGAGTACAGATTTCAACATGTGGTTATCTTTGCTTAGCAAAACATGTTATTAGGAAAATATGCTGGGTGTGATTGGGTATTGTCTGGGTACTTGTACCTAGTGCTGCGGAAATAGATTAGTATATTAATGACCATTCGATGGTGGTGTGGGGTTCCCGATAACACCAACAATAAACAATCCCCTAATAAGGTTTTTTTTCCGGCACACACACCGTAAGAGTGTTTTAGAAGTGTATGAAAGAAGTTTTCTTTTTTTTTTTTGCTTTCTTTCTCACCCAATACACATGACGGGGGACTGAAAAATGTATCCAGCCAAAACGCCGTGATAATAAATAGACGTAGACGGGATTCAGTTAAATGATCAATATCACAGTAATATTGTTACAACTGCTATCGACAAAGCCACATTATAGAATATGAACGTAAAACTAAGCGTTACTTAATTTAGTTATTGTTAGTGAAGAAAACTAAAACTATCTGTATAAGCGGATTAATCTGTACTAATGGGAAAAATCATTTAAAAAATAGAAAAACATTTTATGCTCTATTAAAAAGTATTTAAAAAGTGTTCAAAATTCTTATATAAAGCCTCATCAATTATAATTGACAAAATCAGAATAATAAATATACTGTTTTCGTTTTTTTGTTTTGTAATTCTCAGATCGTCATTTGATGACACGTTAGGCTGCACGAATCGGTAACAAATAAGCATTTGGTGAGATTTGAAGTTGCATCTCCTTATCAGAGAATACAACATCCATAAGCAGTCAAAAGTATTAAAGGAAAAATGATACTCGTGTTCGAAAAATTTTAAAATACGATTGAATCTAATGGCCAGGATATTGAATAAGATCTCTTTAAATAAATATCAGAATATGGATACAAGAATTCCAGAAAATGGGAAGCACAATATTTTTACAAGGTGCTTGATTACAGATCAATTTTTAGAGATTTTCATGGCTGTTGCTCTCATAACTAGGTATGAAAAGAAGAAATGAGACCATAACAACACCAACGACAACAGCGGTTATTATAAAGTAGTATTAGAAATAATAATAATAATAATAATAATAATTATAATAATAAAGTATTAGCTGGAGAGAGAGAGAGAGAGAGAGAGAGAGAGAGAGAGAGAGAGAGAGAGAGTTACTTGATGAGTGCAAGAGCTACTGTCCAAACGACCGCCACATATATTAGCATCTGGTATGAGTTCACCATCCACAGATATACGAATGTAGTAGCGACCTTGAGGCATCGGCCTTGAATGAGAAAAAAAAATAAGAAAAACAGGAAATGGCTATCAGTTTGTTTTAATAATAAAGCAATTGAATGAATATAGAACAAAATATTTTGCAATAATCATGAAATTCACACGAATAATTACTGGATTAATTAGAAAATAATATTTGAACAATGTATTGTGTATCATTTATTACATGGTCAGAGAGGATCATATAGTAATTAAAGTATAATTTTTAAACAAGTATTTTGTACAGTCATTTTTTATGAGAGAAAAGACTTCACTCTTGTATATATTATGTCATTTCTGAAAGTGCATAACAACATTCGATAACATTTCACTCTTTTCCAAGATAGCGAAAAACAAATATTTATGAATGAATTTAATATCATTGAATGCTGTATAATGCTTATTAACCCATGTCAAAGGACAGGTATTAACGGTACTAATTAGTATCAACGAAGGAAAATCTCCTTAAATCTCTATAATACGAAAAGTCTAATTTTGTGTCTGTATGTAACTTCGAAGCAATGGAAGATATCCAAAGGTTTTTAATTAAAGTACTCCTAAAACATGTTAACTTAAAGAATGTAAAATAAAATAAAGTCTGGGTGATAATATTTTGAGATATGCGATCACCCTACCACTTTTCACATTAGACAAAACCTCTAAGGAAGCGAATTTATTGATAATGATTTTTCCATCACAATTTTCTTTCGAAGGGTGGCACAACGAGTCAGTTTTTTTAGTGGTTTATAAATTTACAGAAAGTTTTGCTATTTTAATTTCATTCTAGTCAATCACATTTTTAACATTTAATATAAATGAAATTGAAGTCTTTCGATTATCCTAGATTCAATTTACTAGCAAAGGAATATTTGTCCTGTTTATAAAATGTAAAACCTCTTTCTAATAATAGAACTTGAGTTTAACGATAAAAAAGGAATTTAAATAAGTTGTCGTTACGAGACATAAACTTGAAAATAGGCATTTTATTGGGAATTTGGAAAATAGAATTAAATCTTAACATTTTGAAAATTAAATCTAACTGTACAAAAGTGGATCAATTACTCGGTATCGGTGGGACAGGCGGTAGTGGGATGATATTGCGTAAGCTTATGTACAGTATGGCTGTCACACTCGTATTTTTGAAGCAAAACATCTCAATACTTTACGAACACATGTCGTATGTACTTTGAGGGATTAATGCTATTACTTCATTACATCAAAAATATTATTTTACTAGCAGTCTATTTCCCTTATATCTCTGTCGGATGTATGTATTCGAGTAAATTTTCTCTGTTCAGTAACTCTTGGAAAGTTTCTTTCTTAAGGATCAATTAAAATATGAAACAATACATTCGCTCATGAAATAATCTAGGTTTGTTTGGATATCTTGTGGCGAATGTGGAAACATCACTCAAATTTTAGTATTAAAACAAATCAAGTCTGATGATGATGGATAAAAATATTTACACGTACATCACACTTGATTATTTCCTAGAGCTAACAAACAATATAAACTTCAACAAATACACACGATTGACTGTGTTCGGGAATTATTTCTATTGTTATAAAAATATAGAAAAACATTAAGACAAATAAAAACATATCTTCTCCAATTCATAATAGAAATTACCCTTTTTTTATAAATAATGCCGACAGTTTGTAAAACCGATAAATTTGATAATGTTTACTGGTTAAAATGGACGTCCGTGCGTCTGATGTTTTTCTATTTTATTCAGATGCAGTCCGGATATGGAAATTTCTATTTGCTTGCCAAATGCTCTTCCATTATTTAAAATGTTTCAGTTGATGACATAGAGTTTAGTGCTTGGTTGAATCTTTTTTTTCGGTTTGATACTTTTGGGTGACCTGGTTTACATAACTTAGCCTTAGTTTCTATTCTTTGACATTATTGTGACCAAATGCAGAATTTATATTTCTCTAAGCTTCAACTCCATTACGGTATGCAGATATTGTGCTGTTATTGGGCGCTGTGTTACGAATTCGTCTCAAAAATCAACAGGAGTTATTTACTTTGTATTCCATATTAAAATAATATATATATATATATATATATATATATATATATATATATATATATATATATATATATATATATATATACGTAGAAACTAGATTAAAGAACATATACCATCATTTTACTCCCATTTGACATTTCATAAAAAGAGACCCATTCACAATTATTTCGTTTACTATAAAACGCAAAAGAAAAAGAAACACAATAACATGACAATACTTCTAGGAGGAAAGGAATTGTCAGATTGTGAAAATGGTATATTGTTAATCAATCTGAAGGTGGAATGAGTCAGCATCAAATGACATCGAAATTGAGAATTTCACTTTTAAGTTGTAAATTTATAGCTGTACAATTGAAAAAAGGTGTTTTCATATAATGAGATAGGACATCTTTAATTTACCCGATGTGATATAATATAACAGATGTGCCAAAGATCGTTGTAATCAGCCCAGGAAAGTCAATGCAGCATATTCACCAAATATCATATTATTGCAGAACAACAAGACAGCCAATTCTTAAATAGGTTAACATTCAACAGAGAAAACAGTAGACAATTCGAAGGATCAGTTGACATTAGAATTTTGGGCACAATGTCTTCTAGAATGGATCTGAATTTACTAAATTTACAAAAAGCAGAAGAAACTAGATCTGAAGATTAGCTAATGAATTTATTTGTCAGCAGTCCACTTTAAAAAATGCCGACTTTTTATTGATGGTATGTATTGCAAATTCTTTGAAGTTTCTGGAATGTGGAGGCAAAAATTCTAAGATAATTCCATGTCCATTCTACAGAAGATAGACTTCCTCATAAATGCATACAAAATTATTTGGACCAAAATAAAGTTAGAAATAAGCTTCTTTTTTTTTTTTTTAAATATCGGAGTTTGTCATGTTCTCGTCACATACAAACATATGAGAGAGAGAGAGAGAGAGAGAGAGAGAGAGAGAGAGAGAGAGAGAGAGAGAGAGAGGCGCTAGCCTTGGAGATCATTTACTTGATAGTGGTTGTAGTCAATTTTCATTAAGTGGTTCACTGTTATGGCAATGTGTTAAATTTAGTGAAAATATATTTTTATACGATAACTGGATATTGTTGAGAAGACAAAAGATTAGTTGAAATTACGCATTCTAAATACACAATGGGTACAGAAATGTAAATCAGTTTTCATTTCAAAAACCAAACAAACATTGCCTAGTTTCGTGATGAAAATATGCTATTCTTTCGATCAGACAGAAACAAATCGCGAGGAACTTGAGCTGTGCATAAATGACTGAGTATTTAAGATACAATCGAGTATTTAAGATACAATCGAGTATTTAAGATACAATCGAGTATTTAAGATACAATCGAGTATTTAAGATACAATCGAGTATCGACTTAGGTCTTTGTGGCAGACTAAAGAAAGCTTCGCAAAGAAATGAAAGAGCGCAATTTGCTGCATAACATTTTGTAAAATGTGGAAACTTTATTATACTTTTCATCAAGCTTCACTCCTATAAATTTCTCTATTTTCAAGCAAGAACTTCTCTAATCAACATTAAACGGAAGAAACTTTTAATGAATTTATCAAAGAAATGGAACGATTTGCTGTCAAACTGAAATTAACGTCCATTGTCCAAAGAGAAATATTTTGATTGAATAAATATTTTACAATTTACTTTATTAAAGAAATTGGAAATTTGATATCGAATAAACTTTTTGTATTTACTTTTTATAAAATATTTTTTTGTTTTCATATGCAAAAAATTGTTTGAATAAATAAATTTTATTTATGTAAATGTAAGCTGTTCACAGAATCACATTCACAAGCAACTAATATTTAAAATATATCTTAATGAATCTAATATATATATATATATATATATATATATATATATATATATATATATATATATATGAAACAACTGAATTTATATATATGTTATTTGTTTGCTGTAAGTAATTGTTCACCTTGTGTAGCATGTGATCTGGGTTTCTGTGTTGCCATCTGGGTGAATATCGCAGGGAAAAGTCTTAGATTCTGAAGTTAGTACGACTTTGTTTCCCAAGTGTTCATTACCGGTTCCGAAAGTAAATTGATTTTTCGCAAATCCTGTAAGAAAAATTAACAAAGTATTAATTTTATTTTTAGTAAACTAGCTGAATATAATTAGTAGTTGGTTATAACTGGAAGCGGAATCGATGTTACAAAAGGAATACCTGCATCTATGATAAGATTTCCCCAGTGTGTACACATAGCTAGCTAGCTAGCTAGCTAGATAGCTAGCTAGATAGATAGACAGATAACGAGCGAGATGAAGAGACAGTGTGTATGGAGTGTTAAGTATTGTGATATTTTCTTTATTGGTTCTTATAGCTTTGTTGAATAATACTGGAATAGAAGTTTAACTATTGTGTGTTAGCTAAGCGAGTAGTTGTAGCATAAAGAAGCAAAGATATTTAATTTCCCTAGGATGGGTTAAGCCCTTTTCCCTCCTATTTTTTATTTTATGCACTTTTTTATTGGTTGAATTATTCTGTACTAATTTAGTAAGAAGAGAGATTAAATTGAAATAGCCCAATCATATATTAATTAAGAATTTGCATCACCAAATATTTATCTGATGAAGATTACATTGAAATTATTTTTAAATCTTCCACGAATCTAATTATTTTATATACAATGTCAAAACAAATACATACGAAATCCAGGTAACCAAAAAATAAAAAATAAATGACAATACAAAAACTAGGTCCAATATATTACTTACAAACTCCATAACTTAATTTCATGAACTTAGCTAAACTCAATATAAAAATTACCACTAACACTTCAGAAATAGTTAAAAACTTAATCATTATAAGACAGAATTAATTTTGCATCAGAAGCAGGTATCTACCACGTAGGATATAAACAATGCTCTCCTCCAATACATCGGTGAAACATACCGAGATTTAAAGAAAAGAATATACGGACATAAAAGGGACTTAGAGTTAAGCAACATACTTCTGTGTCACCGAAGACTCCGGCATTACAATTCTGACCGAGAATGCTTTCTTTTCATAAAAGAGAATATAATTTATTCATAGCACTTTGACGTGGTGTAATGGTTAACTCGCTATCCCTCTTATAACTGATTAATGAGTTCGATCCTCACTGGGTTTTTCCATACTTTCAGCCTTGGGCCACATCTAATCTAAGAATCATTTTAGGGCACTTCGACGTGGTGTAATGGTTAGCAAGCTTGTCCCGCCAGATCAATTATGATTGAGTAGTGAGTTCATTCCTCACTGAGTGCTTCACATTTTCGACTTTGTGCCACATCTAAGCTAAGCTTAAAAAATCATTTTTCGAAGAACAGCTTCTGTTAGAAAATCAACAAGATTAGAAGACGGGGGAATAGTTGCCTCCTAAATAATCGTCAATGAAGAGAGGGAGGGTGGATGGTGAAGAGGAACAATGCAAAAAGAAAGAGAAAACGACCTGTCAAAGCAGGACAAAGAAGACACCAGAAGTTTCAAGTCTCAATCTGCTTCCGCTTCGCAAGTCCCAACACTAAAGGTAAAGATCTTCCCTCTTCTCCCTCTAGGACACCAGTATGCACCCCATCCCAACAGAAGGCCTCCCAAAAGGGAGAGGTTATTTGTAAAATGAACATACTGGCGGTTGTTAGGAACCTTTCTTCTCACAGAAAGGCTCTCCTAAAACCATTACTGAAATTTACTTCTGTGGACGGAAAGTTAACAGAGAACTTCAGGAACTTCCCGGGAGTTCCTGGGATAATAATAATCATCATGAATACTAGTGGAAAACTCGGAGTATGAGATATGTTATCTGCCGCAAAGTATTATTTCCTTGAACTCATGATGGCGCATCCGGCATCGCCTGAGATGCATAAATTATCTTTGAACTATTCTGAGAGAACTCTCGTTTTTGTTCCATCCCGCGAAGCACGTCGGTAGCACTGTCACTGGTGGATGAGTTACATTTGAACTGGACTCTGGTATCCTGGGGCAGTCTGTCGGGGCTCTGGTTTCGTCCCGTTTGTGATTTGGCCTAAATGATGGCTATCAAATTGGCATGTTTGAATGCGAAGGTCTTCAAAGATCGGGCCTGCTTCGTGATCTGTCCTATAGAATGGATGTGGCTGCAATCCAGAAGACTCACTTTGTATGCGAATCGATGCTCATGTGCTGTCTAGCAATTTTGTTGTTCATTCAGCATACGGGGACCGATTGGCTAGAGGCGTTTCCTTACAGCTGAAGCGTTTCCTAGATGCGAAGGTGGATCTTGTCCACGTCGGGGCCGATTGCTCGTGGCCAATATTGACGTGAAAAGTGGTCCGTTTCGGGTCGTTGCGGTTTATGCGCCTAACGATCAGACGTTGTTCGTTCTTCCGTCAGTTGGGACTGGTCCTGGTGGATCCGGCGCACCTACTTTTAGTTGATCCTGGACCCCAAGTTAGACAGGAGGCAGGATCTAGCGGAAGATGCAATAATCGTAGCTTGGTTGATCTGATCAGCGAATTTGATCTTGTCGATACTGGATCGATCATTCCGAGCGGGAGATGTAAGCGTGTGTCCTCAACTGGCCGTCTATCCGGATAGAATGATAGAAAGAAGAATCGATCTTGATTTACTAGATTGTCCAACGTTCCACAAAATTCACTCTATTCAGTCCACAAAATTGTTTATGCCCGTTAGAAACTAGGCCTAGAATGGCTGAACTCTGAAAGTTCGATGCGTCCTTGCTGAACAGGGAGGATTTCCGGCTACTTCTAACTAGATTAGTGCAACGGGAATTTGTGTGGGTGGTATTTGGGAATAGGTGATGGAGAACTTTAAGGATGGCATTAGGTCTTTCACCACACAATATAGCCAACGCAGATAAGGCTAAAAAGAGGATAAATTAGAGGATAGTCTGGCTCAGACGATCGCAGGGGAATGGGGATCTCTTAGAGATCAGGTAGTTAGTAGCTAGGTTAACTAAAATGTCGAGTAGAATTGCGCAAGGAGGAAATACGTCGAGGTACCGATCATTAGATTCGTTAGGTCAACACTCCTGATGGGCGTAGGTGACCAACGACATATGTGAGACGTTTCGGTAGCATTTCCAAAACCGGTTTACCAACGAGACCGGTCTCTGTGAGCAAGAGTTTTACAGCTATTTAGCTGACATTCCTCGAGTTTCTTCGGTTGAGAGCGAAGTCCGGGAAGCGTTGAAAATGGTCGGCAATGTTAAATGTTATTAACATCCATAATGTTAAAATCTTTGATACAGAAAGAGGATGAAAGGAAGCATAGAAAAAATGCAGCGGCAGATACTGTCCATTGGATTGGGAGTGCAGCACAGAAGACATCATTTACACTGTTGAGGTCAGTGATAATAATGGTTTCAAGAAAATATACATTGGATGTACTGAGGACCTTCCAAAAAGAGATTTTACAATCATGCTTCGTCTTTTAGGTTGGAGAGCCATAGCTTGCCGACCGTGTCTGGAAATACAGAAAGAGGTATGGCAGAAGTCCTTGTGTAAAGTGGAACATGGTAAGAGGGTAAAAACTGGCAGAATTCGTGGTAATTGTTGCCGGTTGTGCCAGGAAGAGAAATTGACCATTGCCACGTATACTGATAAAGGTATCTTACTAAATGAGAGAACTGAGATTATGTCAGGGTGCAGACATTTAAGTAAATATTTTTAGGTACCTATGAACCCGGAGGAGCGAAATAAAATAATTCATTTTTTCCCTCTTTTCCTCATTTAGAATTTTTTCCCCTCTTCCTCGCCTTCACCCATCCTTATACTTTTACCCTCTCACTTTCGGTGTTCTGGTATATTGGAGTAGCTTTCTTTGGCTTGTACATCCTTCCACTTCCTTGGAATTCAATCAGTCTGTGCCCGGATAGGGTTAGACGTTAGGCCTAGAATGGCTGGACACTGAAGTTCAATCTGTCTTTACTGGACAGGCGGGACTTCCAGCAACAACTAATTAGACCAGTGCAGTGGGAATTAGTGAGGGCTTTTATTGGGAATGGGTGGTGGAAGAAACTTAAGGATAAGATTAGGTCCTTCACCACCGAATATAGCCAGCGGCACGCGCTATATAAGGCTAAAAAGGTGAAGGTTCTCAAGGATAGTCTTTCCCGTGCGGAGGCTAGGGGATCTCCTAGAGATAGATGCTCTGGAGCGCACGGCTATCCGAAGTTATCAGGGTCAGGTAGTTAGGCATAGATTAAACAAGATGTTTAACGAAGCCGTGAACATTGAGCGTAGAATTGCGTGAGGAGGAGATCTGTCGAGGTTCCGATCGAAACATTCGTGAGGTCAAGACCTCGTAGGTGCGTGTTCTGAGGTCGACTGATGACATGTGCGAGGCGTTTTGGCGGTATTTTGAGAGCCGGTTTACCAAGGAGCCTGGTCTTTGTGATGAAGAGTTTCACAGCTATTTGACTGAATTTGCTCGGTTTTTCACGGAGGGCGAAATCTACTTGGCATTGAAGAGAGTCATCAGTGACAAGTCTCCAGGAGTTGATGGTTTACTCTATGAATTGTACTTGAGACTGTCGCACATCTTGCCGATTTTGATGTTGTGTTCAACAGTTTCTTCCGGCAAGGGTCTATCCTCAATCGGATCACCAGGAGTATAATCACGCTGTTGAAAAATGGCAAGGATGTTGGACGGGAATTAGATGATTACAGGCTCATAACTCTGCTAAACACAGAGTTAAAGATTTGGGCCAAGATCCTGATGAAGCGTTTGCAGTCAGTTGCCGAGATTCTCTTGAGACCTGAGCAGACTTGTGCTGTGAAGGGCTGAACAATTCAAAGCAACCTGTATATATTCCACGTGATCCTAGAGGATGTGAAAGACGATGAGCAAGCACCGCTGATCAATTTGGATTAGTCCAAGGCATTTGATAGGGTTGACCATCGGTACCTGCTGCTGTCCTTCAGGCCGCTGGATTCGAACCCAATTTCTGCAAGTGGATTAACTTTCTGTATCGCTCCCTCAAGGCTGTGGCGCAGATGAACGGAAAGTGGTCACGCGCTTTTGCGCTCTCTCAGTCGGTTCGTCAGGGTTGCCTCCTTTATCATCTCGACTGATTCAGTCTTTGATTTCCCCACGCCCATATTTATTTTATACTTCCCACTCAGAGAGTTAGATTCTTGATTCTGTTAGAAAACACAATACAGAGGCCGCTCTAATTTTTGTGGGATGGACGGGTCCTACTAACATCTGTTATTTTCTGTTGGATATTTTATATTTTTATTTGCAATTAGGGATTCATACCCCACTCATTTCATACCATATTTAAATTTTTATACATTTTCTATGAACATTTGTGCATGAGAAATTTTTAAATCTCGGATTTTTTTTGTAGGTTCCCTTTCTGTATGGGGTGCTGTGGTATATGTAGGAGTAAATGATAAAGGATGACTTTTTGTGGTATATATGTTACTTGTAATGAATGAATGGTCGTGAATCAGATTAGCTTGGGTATAGGATAGTTAATGATGACCAGCCTCACCCCGCACCCACTTTTGCCCTTGTGACGCAATTATTGTAATTTTGCAATAATAAATATTCGTCCACTTGCCTGAGGAGACCTAAAGGTCGAAACCCGGGTTGCGAGGTTGGTTGGCATTTTAGTCTTTTCTTAAATATCTTAACTCTACATATTCGATTTTGTATTAAGCACTATTTTGTTGTCTCTACCTTTTAGGCGCGGTTGTTTTCAGCCTTCTTTTTACATTCCTATCCGTATATATTATATATATATATATATATATATATATATATATATATATATGTGTGTGTGTGTGTGTGTGTGTGTGTGTACTTTTGCGCTTAGGTATAAAACGTCTTACACAAAAGTTCGAGCTATTTGGAGAGCGAATGCGAATAAAATGTAATATGAACTTTTGCTGACATTATTTGTGAATGTTATTTTGTAAACAACATTTATGGGATTTATTCGAAAGAGACGATGCATAGTTGGTGTAAGGGTAATTTTTTCCATATTTACATTGTCCTAAATTTGGAGTAGCCATTCGTATTCTGATTATGATCAAAGCACTTATTTTATAGACTTACCCCTTCCTTTTAGTGTTAGTAGAACGCCTCCATTGCTCCCTCCATGAATAACGGTATTGTAATAAAATTCCGGCTTAATGACTGCAACTACAAAAGGAGAGTTAACAATCATTTAAATGTGGATAACATATTTAACAGTGAATTTCAAAAATAAAGCAATAAGGTGTAGTTTTAAATAAAAATATATCAATATGCCTTTGTCGAATTTAGAGTTTATTATCTAATATCTCTTCAATTTTCAGTTTGTTAATTACATTAAATAAACTGACATTTTAAATCATCATATTTTCTATTTACAAAATACAAGGGATTGCTGAAATCTGATGAAAAGTCCTCATCCTGACCAAGAATGCCTAAAATAATCTGAGGTTTGCACCTTTGGTAAAATCTTTAAAAGACGGATCAGTTGATTACTTTTCAGTACCTTATCGTATAATTCTTTTAATACGCTGTCCAAGCAGTAAACAAATTTAGTTTCTTCTCCGAATTTCAATATTCAGTATACCTAAGATTTTTAAAGGTATTTTTCATAAATGAAAAATCATTTTTGAAGCTTTCCTACAGAAAACAAAACACAGTAGTGCATTTCAAATTGAAATTATAATGATTTTTAGTCGATTCTTCTGAAAAACCAATTGAAATGGCCATTTTTAATATTTTTAGGGAAATATAAACAAAACTTAATTTATGTTTTAAAAATCCGTCAAAAATAAAATATGAAACGTTACTCTCGTAAAATTAGCAAATTTAAAGTTAAATTAATCTGTTTTGAAACAAATATTACTTCCACCATAAAATTTTATAGACAAGCATTTATTCACTTCGAAATCTTGCTATTCTCACATCTTCATCAATAATTTGATGGCCGAAGGTGTTGACATGTTTAGTATGGTGGACCAGAATTGAAATAAATTTACGAATTATGAGTAAGAACGGTTTGTTTTTGCTTTTTAACTACCAGGTAATATTTAAAAATTAAACTATTTTAAGCAGTTATCTAATATTTTACTGATTTTTTAATGAAATTTTGAAGGTGCTTTCTTATAATGATATATTTTAGGAAATTTTGAAGATGCTTTCTTAAAATACTATAAAAATTTCTTAAATTATTGAGTTACCTCTATAATGGTATTTAAATAAGATAATATGATAAATAATCTTCTTAATTATTATATTGTTAGTTATTACATTTTTAATTTAATAACTGAGATATAATAATTAAAATTATTAATTATTATTTTAATAATTAAATTATCTCACTCTCAGTTATTACATTTTTACATTGATAAGCGTGATATAATAATTTTATTAATATTATCTCAATAATTCAAATATTAATTTAATAATGAGATATAATTAATAAAATTATTAACTGTTATAATATATGTCAAAGAGTTATCTAAGGGTGGGGAAGCCTTAAAATACGTGACCTTTTAACCATAATATCACTTACGATACCCCATACCAAAAAGAAATATAACATTTTGGAGCGCAAAAAATATCTTTAATTATGGTAACAAGATTTGGGAGTATGATTTGTATTAAGCATTTAATTTTCGCTTAGTAAATATAGTCTTCAATTAATAACCGTGCATGGTACTCTGTTTGGAAGAATTTTAAAACATTTTTTAAATTTAAAGAAAAATGAAAAAACTTAAAGGAAAATGCAAACAATTTTTGTAAAAATTCATTATCCAACGAATTTTTTTTTCTTCAGACAATAATGTCCTTAATGTATATTATTTATAAAAGCAACTAAAAGCCTATCTAATTAGATAATTAGATAGCTTTATTGCAGTTTTTATTTTACGATTTGGAGTAGATTTTTAAAAAGATGTAAATTTACTTTCTTCAAAGAGTCCTGCTTATAAGTAATATAAAAAAATTTCAGTACTCTTTGAAATTCTTGAAAATTTTATGAAATTAAGTTACAGGGGAGGGGTTAACAGATGTAAAAAAAAGTATTTTCACCAAGAAATTTCTAAAAACAGAAATTTCAAAAATAAATTAATTCATTTTGGAATAAGTCATGAAAGTTTCCTTAAAATCAGACAATTATTTGATTTTTGCAAGAATTATCAAATTAATGTATTTTTCAACGGAAACTGCTACACAAAAATGTCTATTACCACAAGTCTTACAAAGCTGACCAAAGAAAAAACAAAAAAACAAAACAAAAAAAAACGAGATTTCTGACACAAATTTAGAACGTGTTAGAAAGGAGGAATTTTTTTTTTAATAATTAAAAATACTTTGTTCTTTCCTCTTAATAATAACATAAATATTTTGACGATAAAACTTTGTTTTTATTAAGTTTGGGGCCTTTTATCATCATGCTATACTGTTTTTTAGCAAATTATTGACGGTACCTAATTTAATGCTTCACAGTCATACACAATAGTCTGAACTGTAGGTTGCTTTTTTACAATTATGATGATGATAGAACTATCGTCGTATGCAAGTATATATATATATATATATATATATATATATATATATATATATATATATATATATTTAATCTTACTAACGAAATTAGCCAATAAATCACAGATAAATTGGACATTAGTGAACGCGTCGGAAAGCTACAAGCTAAGCAAGCCTACATTCTTTTAAAGGACCATAAACCAGATTTTAGAGCCAAGACATCTAAAGTTTGAAATCATTAAATTTAAGGACAAGATAAACCTTTGAAATCAAAGGAAAGAACTCCCTGCCAAGTGCAGGCATAAATTACCTTTTAATTTGCTTTCTAGCTAGCTAGAATATTGTTTATAAAGATGAAATGGTATTGTAAGTCTGTAAATTTTTTCCCTTAAGTTTCCGATTGTTATCTATCTTTATTTGCTAAGAATTCAATATAAATTGGACTATTTAGTTAATATTTTAATAGTTGTAAATCTTATTGAATTTTGACGGGTAGTTTGCGCTGTCTCTGTAGTTATGTTGGAAGACTGAATCTTAATGAATCTATTTGTCGTTCATATATTTGCGTGTTCATATATTCAATCACATTTATGTGTTTGTCTATTATGACGTGATGTCTGTATGTCTAGCCACAAATAAACATTTCCCCTTTGTCAACCTGTCATCACTTACATTACCATTGGAACTGACTACGTAATCATATATTATAACTCTTACCACTGCTCTGATTCGGACGAAATATTTAACCCATTTTTAAGAACAATACATGAAAGTTTACACATATTTTCTCCTTTTTTTATGAATATTTTTGTTAATTTCGTAAAGATGATAGAAGGTTTCATTTAGAGCTTAATATGCGTAACTTTAAATTTTAATTACAAAAGACTGGAGATTAATTGTTTATTCTGATTTCCTATAAAATTTAATATTTATTTTAAAGCATTAATAAATTATATCTAAGGTATTTTGATTGGCCATTACATCTTACATAATGATTTTCCCCTAGTGGAGGTAATGGTTAGTTTTTGAACACTTTATTTTACTTGCAAGACCATCACTTGACAAGATACCAGAAGTGTTGAAACAAAATGGCTATTTTTGTAGTGATGTTATAAAATACATATGTTATAATTTTTAAATAAATATTAATCACTCTACTCTGTATTGAGCACTTTTTAAAAATATAGTGTTTTTGGTTACTGGAAGTTTATTCCATCTACACCAACCTGGAATTCGGATATATATATATATATATATATATATATATATATGTGTGTGATCCAATATATATATATATATATATATATATATATATATGTGTGTGTGTGTATATATATATACACACACATATATATATATATATCCTCCTATATATATATATATATATATATATATATATATATATATACACACACACACACACACACACACACACACACACACACACACACACACACATATATATATACACTCTAGCGTCGCGTCACCGTGATGCCAAAACACGGGAACAACAGTCTACTGTGAAACTCTCCGGTGGTCGCAGCGCCAATATGTGACGTCCTCTGGTCACAACATCAATATGTGACACTGCGCTGTCGACCCGTGGTCAACTCCCAGTTGCCGCGCGAACCTGTAAGGTTTCTTCCACCAGCGTTTTGGGGTTGACTCCTTGCCGCTGCCACCAGCCTGTGTACCGGTCGATCTCGGTTCGATACCAACTTGTTATTCTCAGCTCACTTCCAGCGTCTGGTTACCGAAGTAACTACTTTGATCTCAAGTCTTACCTACCCACGTTGTGACTTTGATCTTAGGTAGACGAAATCAATCAGACGTCGGGCCGTAGTGCAAGTTGAAGCCGGGGTGAAGGTGATACCGCACAAGTGTAAGTAAAAGAAACAAAACTCAAGAGGTTCAAATATGTTAAGAAATAACAAATTATCTTTATTCGTCTGTTATATACAGGAGTGTGTTTCTCTCCCAGCCCGTTTCTATGGATTTGTGACACTTTTGTGTTTCTTAAGCGAGTTTTGGTATCTTAAGCCTTTCGTCGATCTAACTTGCTTTTGGTAAGAAGGCGAAGTAGAAAGGACGTGGAATCTCTCGATCAGCTTCTGCGAGACAAGACTCTGACACTGTCCGGAACTGAACTCTAAATCCAACTGCGAATCAACTGCGAAACTGCCCGAGTACGTTCGTTTATATGGACACCGACCAAAACCCAGGGTGGGGCCTGACGTGGTTTGGGTTTCTTGATAATTCTCGATTCCCAACAAGAATTCTCTTTGTTCTTAGGCCAGGAAAATTAATTACTTCCCATTTTTGAAAGATTAATCACTTTCCATTTCGTTTTTTTTTTGTTAATATTAATTTGATGATGCGCATACAGGAAAATAACCACTGACACTACTCAGTCAATTTCAAGATATTTTTTATATTATAAGAAAATATATTCTATATGTACGTGTGTCCGTCCGTCCGTTTTTCGATCTCGGCAAATCCTAAACAACCTGAAGTAACAAGTAGTTAATTACTGCAGTTACATGCGATTAAAAATTAAATAAATAACTCATTTAAAGTTAAATTTAAATATTGAACAGAGTGAAAGGTTTAAAAACAATTATTTAAAGTTTTAATTTTAATTTCGCTTTTCGTTGCAATTGCAGTTGATATTGTCTAATTAAACCT